ACTTTACATTTGTGTAGCAGCTTGCATTCGGTCTAACACAGGAGTGCTTGGTGTTGTGTACTTAATACAAGATGAATGATTTGGCAAAATACGCATATTGGAAGTGCAGATTTTGTTCATTAAAGTAGCTTATATGAATCTTATGTAAATATGTAATCATTTAAATATGTACTTTTTCACGTTTGTCAGTTTGAATATTTTTAGAAATTAATTATGAAACAAACTCTATATAAAAAGAAATCAAAGTCATCACATTCTTCACTGTAAAAAAACCTCTTTGTTCCACACAATCAATTTGTGTTCAAAAAGTTAATTTATTTGTTTTAACAAATTTAAGTGGATTGAACCCAAAAAAATCAAGAATTTCGTTGTTTCAGCTCATATTAAATATGGAGTTTGAACAAACAACAAACATCATTTTCTGAGTGTTTCGTATGACAAATAAAAAAATAAAATACATTTTAAAAACTGTTTTTTTTATAGCTAGTTTTTGGGTTGTTGTTTTTTTTATCTTGTTTTTCATAGTGTTGTTTGCTTTGCTTTTCTGCTGTTTATTTAAATTTTTTCAATTAAGCATTTTTTCTTGTTTTGTTTTGTTGTCTTTATTCAGTTCATTCTTTGAAACAGTGGGGGTTGTTGATTCAGTTGACTTTTATTCAACCCAGGCTCATTCTAAAAACGTAGTCCCGTGTGCGTTTCTGGAGACTGCGGAATATGTCTCGGGAAGTACTTATTTTTGCAGTTTTTGTTTTCGCGAATCTGCGAGAGGCCACTGTGTTCGCTTTTTCACATCTCAAATGTCTCTCACGAGTGCTGTTTACACCGGCACTGTTCTCACGGGAACCCACCAGAGGCCACTGTCGACCGACTGAATGACTGAATAATTGATTGGGCGACCGGCCAATCGACTGACACACCCTCCTCCTTCCCTAAACCCAACCAATTTTACTGATTGACCTGCCCACCCACTTACTTTCCTAAACCCAATCGATGATTTACAAAAGCCATCCAGAAATGGAAAGCCCTCGTCTGATTTTTACCACATTTTCAGATTTTACCACATTCTCACCCTGTTGTTCACTTGCTCATTTTATTTTTTTAATTCTGTTTTTGTCTTACTTGATTTCTGGAACTGCTCTTCCCCGGACTCAAACCCGATCGTCGTCGATGTGGTCAACTCCTCTCTGCGTCTCAAGACCGCCAACGTACACGACGAGCTAACTGGACAAACTGGTTGTGGTGGGAAAGCCCCTTCACACAGAGGTAAGCGGTCAACCAATAAGCTCCAAAAGGAAGACGTCACACACTGCCCCGTAGCGTTCGCTTAATAAAATTAAATGCAGCCATACGCACCTCCAGCTACATAATTTGCGGTCTCCAGAAACGTCCGTGGGACTATGTTTTCAGAATGAGCCTGTGTTGCTTTTATTAAATGTGCAAAAAACTTGATCATTCTTCAAAAATCAACTATTTTGTTGTGCAGAAAAATTAAATTCAGATATAAGCATGAAATAACCAGCCTGATCTCATGAGGAAATGCAGCTATTTATGTTTTGTCAGTTTAGTGGCTAATTTGTACAAAATTATTTTCTTTATAAATCTTCACTGCCTGTGAGATATACAATATGAAGTGGCTCTCGGATCAGACAAGAAGCACTGCAATAAATTCCATTTCCACCCGCCATGTCTTTAAAATATGAACGTTTTTTCAGGTATTTTCAGGGGAATTTCTATGCTAGTGTTGCTACTGACGGCGCTAGTGGTTACAACGGTCTTTCATCTTGGCTTACGCTTGAACAACTAAATGAATGCTTAAGTCTCTTTACCTGAATGTATTGTAATTACATTACAAGATCGTTGCTGTAAAAACAACCATGTGAAATTAAAAATAGTCACATTAAGCTTTCACCGGAGATTTATTGTTGGCTTTCAAACTCTAGCCTTGCATGGCGTCCATTGCCGTGAGATCATGTTGAAAATAGCATGTGAATGAGTTAAAAACTGGGTTAGGTGAGGTGAACTATCTATTTACTTTCACATATACAAACACAGAAAATGTAGCTTTTATGGCAATTTTATTGTATTTAGCTTGGGCTGTATATTTGTAATTCATGCATGTAATCTAAAATTTACAATAATTAGAAAAAAGGGAATTACTGATGTGAAACAGCACAACCTGAATTCTATGCAATGACAGTACATTAACTGCATGACTCCATCAACAGGCTGCACTTGCTGTCTATAAGTCGCTGGCTTGCATATTGACAACAGCTACAGAGGGCACAGCAGGTGCATGACTATGACAGCAATGCCCTGCAGCAGTTCTTTATGTATTTGCATTGCAACATACCATGTTTTATTCTGTTCCCTTTGAAAACAAATGCATACAAATCATATGCTAAAAGAACACTGCAGACAAATGACTTTTCTTGTCATTTGAGGATTGCAGAGAGGTGATACACTGCTCTGGATGAGGAAGCCACTGTATTGCCTGAGGGGTAACACCGACGTGCAACTCAGTATATGACTGCATTTGACAGCCACACATTTCTGACTTACAATCTGCCTTCACCAATTCAGCTCCTATTTTGGTGCTTGTACCCAGACACGTTTATACACATTGGACCTTAGCGATCTTCCCTCTAGCAAAGTATTTTGGCGGTATCTACTTCCCTTGACGTCAGTACAGTGTACTAGAACGGCCTCTTTTCGTCTTATTGGGGGCAGAATTCAGCTGGATTAATAGGTGGAGTTTCAATGCATAGATTTGGTTCAGCTTAAGCTTTTAATAAAGAAAAAAAATTCCCTGCCTTTTTTTTGTGCAGAAAAAATGTCCAATGCATGATGTAATCTCCTTCTCCCTCCCTCGGTTTTCAAACCTCCGCACCCACCAGCCCCTCTTTTCCTGCTCCCTGTTACCTTGTGTGTGAATCTCCATCCTGTTCTCGGGCTGGGGAGAACAGAGCTGAGGGAGAATCAATATGTTTTCAATTTGCAGCAGCGACTTGCTCCCTCGCATTCTAATTACAGCTTCTGCTCTTTCTAAGTCTCTCGGCAAGAGAACGCGGGAGAGAGACACCACACTGCCACCACCATTCACGGCATCTCTGAAACAGTAGTGGGTTTCAGCTATCATAGGCTCATGCTGAATATGGGGTCATAACTGAATTACGCAATTATTAGCACTGTGAAAGTCAATCAGCATGTGAAAAATGCAAGACTTTTTTACGAGCTTACAGAGTTGCCTACTCGGTAGTTATTTTGGTTTAAACAGTCTTGAATTGCTTTTATCTATGAAGCACCCAGCGATTCTTTAGCAACACCCTAGCAACCACATAGCAACCATTCAGAATAAGGTTGCATACACCAACTGCATCCAGATTGTTCTCTGCAATTTTTTTTTTCTGGTCAGATAATCTCTTCATGTTTAGTCACTTTAAAACATTGTGTATTTTATTCCTGTCAGAGCAGCAAAGCTTGAATAATTTCTCCATATTGGGAATATTTAGTTTTATTTCTCTTATGAGTATTGTTTGTGGATGTCTATGTGAGATCACCCTTTGGTAAATGATAGTAAATTACATGTGAGCTTTTACACTTCGTAAAGGCGCCGGATTTTCTGTGATATCATTGTGTGCTTAATCTGGACCAGAGGAGACTGTGTGTGTGCACTGTGATAGTTAGAACCGTTCAAACAGTAACACTGGTAAAGTGCCATACAATTAGAGCTAGAACTAGAGCATAAAGCAACATTCACATCCATTCCAAGAAACAGGTACATTTTGTGTGTTATAATCACCAGAGATCTGGCAGATCGTTGTTAAACAGACAACTTCTGGAATTATGTCAACAATCTACAAATCCCACCATGCACTTCATACACACACCTGTTCTGATGTTCAGTTCATTATACACACATACACACACAGCTGGGAGCTACTTAAGGACTGATTACCAGGACTATTTATACACACTGTAAAACTCAACAGTCAACTTTATCAAATGAAATGAGTGTAGTTTAGAACTCAGAATTGACTGAAAGTTAATTCTGCTCATTTAAAAAGAGTTTTGAACTCAGTGTTGAAGAGAATTAGTTAATTAAATACTTCATTACTTCAACTTAAATGGAGCAAGTTTACAGAACTCATATAGATTAGTTTTTAACTCAAATGGTTTGTAGCAATTACTTTCCTCAAACAGTTTGAACTGTCTTAACTTAAAAACAGAACTCTGTTGGTTAAAGTTATCTTCATTTATTGGTTTTTACTGTCCTTAAAATGCTCTATTTAGTTCTCATTAGGATTAGTTTTTGAACTTAAATGGTTTGTTACACTCGGTTTTCTTAAACGGTTTGAGTTTTATTCTTGTAATTAACTGCACATAGATCTTCTGCTCCATTGTCCAGCATCCATCACTTGAAACTGTGACATCATTAACCAGAAATGACCTCAAAAATGCTGTGCTTGTTTTTGTGAATATTGTGAGGGTGGTTTGTCTATTTGTTGAGTTTCTTTTTTTCCAAACATTTCATGCAGTCATGCAGCTCCTTTTGTCCTAGAGACAAAACAAAATAATTAACTATAGGAAAGAAATCTTGTCGATAGCATCAGAAGCCGCTACCTGCAGCTTAAAAGGTTTCCACAAATGCCTATATAATCTTCTTAAATCATATAAAGTTTTTAATATTTTAATTTAAAAAGGGATATACATTAATATGCATTTATGAATGTATTATATCATCTTTGCTTCAACGAATTACCGCTTATGCGAGGTGTTTCTAAAGCAGCGTTTATAGGGCTGAGAGTATATATGATGTTGTTCTCTCCTCTAAATTTACCCAGCTACTGAGAAACCCAGAAATGTGAAAAGGGTCCATACCCTAGCAATAGCAATACCCCAGCTCTTCAGAATATTGCACCTTAGCAACCATCTAGCAAAGACTTTGGATGCATGAGAATAGAACCAGAGCACCTTAGCATTGTGGCAGTTCACATTTTCACCTGAAACGTGAAAAAAAGTAGAACTCTCTTCTTTAAGACTGGGTTATGTTGTATTTTCTCTGTGTTTCTCCAGTCTTCATCTAAGAAATCCACACTGTCTACTGTTGATTCTTTGAACCAGAATGACAGTGCAGGAACAAACCAGCCCAACAAGGAATAAAGTTTCTTGTGGCGCTGCTGTGTGACTTGATCTGAATGAGAACATTGGAACAAAGAAATAAAGCAAAGGTTTAAACAAAATTTACACAGGGACTCTGTTGCCATGGCAATGGCAGACATAACCTCACCCCTCCACATGCACACATACACACTCAGTGATAAATGGTATTGCATGCCCCTTCATGTGCGCATCATAAAGCTTACCTCTACTAAAGATCTCTTCATTCTTGTACTTTAATCTCATTGATGCTGCGAGAGAGAGGATATCTTTACGGGTGTGCAGCGTGATTGTAAAAGTGTTTCATGGGGAGAATGATACAGCTTGTTTATAGTACTGCATGACACCAAGAATGGCTTTTCAGGATAAATAACACTTCGCAGTTTCCAGTTTTATCCTTCCTGCTGTCCTGTTTTGTTTTAGTTGACTAAATTGATTAAGCTGACCCCCACTGCTGCACAATATGCAGAAACATGAGGTTGGATGCTTAATAAAGCTTTTACGCTCTTGTCCATCTGCAACGCTGTCTCTGCTCTGAAACAAATGTGGACTTGCCATCATTTACCATCTGCCACGATGTAAAGATGAAACATCCTCAATCTTCATTGTCACTGGGAAATAAAAAAAGTGGCCCATCAACATTTTTGCTGAACAAAACACATCTATACACACAATTTGACAGGTTTCCAGCTCAAATTAAATTTCATGGCAATAAAACAAAATATTTCTGTCCTTTTTCACACAAATTATGCTTACAATGTACATTATCTATTATCTAGTATCTAGTATCTAGTATCTATTATTATTATTATTATTATTGATATTATTATTACCATTATTGTTATCATCATCATTATTATTATTGTTAATATTATTATCATTGTTGTTGTTGTTGTTGTTATCGTTTTTATCATTATTGTTATTATTATAATAATAATTATTGTTGTTGTTATTGTTATTATCACTATTGTTATTATTATTATTATTATTACTATTATTATTATTATTGTTGTTGTTAGTGTTATTGTCATTATTATCATTGTTATTATTATTATTATTATTATTATTATTATTATTATTATCATCATCATCATCATTATAATTGTTATTGTTATTGTTATTGTTATTATTATTATTATTATTATTATTATTATTATTATTATTATTATTATTATTGTCGTTATTGTTATTATCATTATTATTGTTGTTATTATTATTATTATTATTATTATTATTATTATTATTATTATTGTCATCATCATCATTATTATTATTGTTATTATTAAAATATTATTGTTGTTGTTATCATTATCATCATTATTGTTATTATTATAATAATTATTATTGTTGTTGTTATTGTTATTGTTAGTATCATTATTGTTATTATTATTATTATTATTATTATTACTGTTATTATTATCATTATTACTATAATTATTATTATTGTTATTGTTATTATCATTATTATCATTGTTATTATTATTATTATTATTATTGTCGTTATTGTTATCATCATTATTGTTATTATTATTATTATTGTTATCATCATCATTATTGTTATTATTATAATTATTATTATTATTATTATTGTTGTTGTTGTTGTTATTGTTATTAACATTATTGTTATTATTATAATAATTATTATTGTTGTTGTTGTTGTTGTTATTGTTATTATCATTATTGTTATTATTATTATTATTATTATTATTATTATCATCATCATTATTGTTGTTGTTGTTGTTGTTATAAATATGGTTGTTGTTGTTGTTCTTCTTCTTCTTCTTCTTCTTATTATTATTATTATTAGAAATATTATTACTATTATATCCTTGATTTTCAGTACAATCAGTACTGTAACCCTTGCTAAGAAATATTTAGTTCTTTGTGCAAGCTTTGCCTTTAGTAAGCAAATAAAATATCAAAATTCAAATCAATAACTTGTGTAATGTTATTTTATAATATTATCTGGGTATCATAGGCTTGTGATCTCATGTTTCATATAAACACAACTGCTGATACCTTGTTTTGAGTATATATATTTATCAATTACATAATGAAAATGAAATCAGATGACTTCAGAATGAATACACTGTATAATAAAAATCCATAAAATCTATGGTACAAAACTGGCTGCTGTGGTTGGCAGATTTTCTCTTGTTAAAAATATGAAACACTTTTAAAAAAGGTCATTAGGTCATTGTAACTTACTAAACTAAGCTAATCATGTTCAATCATGTTATGTTTAACATAATATAAGTTCAATGGACTGATAAAGTTAATTTGATTCAGCTTAATTTTTTTTTTACAGTGTACAATCATTTCGGAATTTTCAGTAAGATTCTGTATTACATTAATTTATATAATGTTAAAGAAATATTTCATTTACTCTCACATATTTTGGGTCTTCTATTTTGGAACAAGTGAGAGAGAGTAAGTGATGACATTGTTTTCATTTTAGGGTGAACTATCCTTTTAATACACCAACGTTTTGATGGATTAACCTGAACATTCAATATGTGCACAGATAAAACACTCACAGAAACAGTTGATGATGAACTGAAACTCACAAGCAAAGATAACAAATCGCTTTTTCACAAGCAGAAAAAAACATTATAATAGAAGGGACCATTCACACAACTGCTAAACACCATCATGGTAACTTACATGTCACTAAAATAATTAAATAGACACGTTTTCACATTGTTAGATGTAACATAAAGCTGTAATGTATATAACTGATGTGAAGAAAGGAAAAAGATTGACAGTAGCATAAGTATAAAAGTCAATTTATGGACATTCACTGTCCCAGACCCATCCCCCACTGATAAAAGGTCCAGATTTGTCCCATACATGAGCTCATTTGTCTTATTTTGACAGCTATGCCATCATAAATTGTGAAAATAACCCCTCAAAGAAGGCTTCCAATGAATGCAAATAATTATTTTTCATGAGTCCAACATCCAGCTGTGCAAGAAAACCTACAATATGATGAAAGTGAAGTCATCTTTCACTACAAGTAGCCCAACTTTTATTTTGAATCTTAGACCTTATTCTTGAAGAAAAGAAATACCAATTAAACGTTTGAAGCACCAAAAGTGGCCCATATTAAAGTAATTTGGTAACACTTTACAATAAGGTTCATTAGTTAATGCATTTACTAACATGAACTAATCATGAACAACACATGTACAGCGTTTATTAATCATAATTGAACATTTACTAATGCATTATTAACATCCAAGTTCATGCTTGTTAACATTAGTTAATGCACCATGAGTTAACATGAAATAACAATGAACTACTGTATTTTCATTAACTAACGTTAACTAACATGAACAAATACAGTAGTAAATGTATTGTTCATTGTTTGCTCATGTTAGTAAATGCATTAATTGACATTAACTAATGAACCTTATTGTAAAGTGTGACCGTTTATTTAATATTAATTAGCCTATTTTTGTTGTCCATGAAATTTCAAAATGTACTTTTTTTTACAAAAGAGACAAGAAAAATTGTCAAGCTCTACATTATTAATAGTATTAAGTTTTAATATTTTATTATTCAAATTGCCAAATTCTGACTAAGCAACAGTGGTGGAAAGTGTACTGAAGTATCACACTTAAGTACCGTTATTTGCCTAAAAATGTAGTGCAAGTAGAGTAAAAGTACCTATTTTAAATATTACTCAAAGTAGGAGTAAAAAGTAGCCATTTTAATGTACTCAAGTGTAGTGAGTAGTGAGTATTACGCTGTAAAAAGCTGATGCATTTACATGTCATTGGATGGATGTGTGTAAACGTAACATTCTGTAGTGCATTGAGTTATTGCAGGCACACAATGTCATAAGACGTTAATATTCCAAAATCAATGTCTAGCCAGCATCTATAAGGACAATTTTATTTTGATGTCCAATAACGACATCAAATGACGTTGATATTTATTTGATTTTAGCTTGTGTTAGAAAGTGAGCAAAATCCAACATAGAACCAACATCTTAAACCAACGTCATATTGACGTCAAATGCTGACATTTATTCATCAGGTATGGCAACCAAAATCCAACCTCTGATAGACGTCATAGTGGTAACGTTCACTCAACGTCAAGCTGTAACATCATTAGACGTTGATATTTGGTTGTTTTAGGCTGGGCATTGACATGGTCGGCCTGACGTTGGGTTCTGATGTCAACACGATTTTCATTTCCAAACAAAATTCAACGTCCCCATGACATTGAGGTACAAAGTCAATCCGACATAGTGTTGACATCTTGTGCCTGCTGGGTGTTTAAGGCCATTGTGGTCATCATACAATAAACATCCCTCATCTGCTCATCAGTTACATGCATCTAAACAATCTCTGGGTCACTGCGTGGACATCTTCTTGGACATGTTTAATGCTTCCAAACAGTTTGCTGCAATTATAAAGCGCCCATGTCTTGCTGTAGTTCATTATTATGCGATTTACCTTCTATAGGTGATTTGATTGGATAGAAATCAGAGGACTGATTTTTCTAATCCACATAGACAAGAAAAAATAAAGTAGTTACTGCAGGTTGAAGGAAAGTAGTGGAGTAAAAGTACTGATACTGCTATATCGTGAGGGAGCTCACATTCAGTTAAACTGTTATATTACAAGTTGTTTGTTATGTAGACAAATATTATGTTCGTTTATCTTAAATACTGCATTATGTTCACATTTGGGGATGCCAGTAGTTCATGTAATTATGTCACATATATGTATTATGATTTATCTGTATTGTGGATGGAGTAATAAGCACACATTAACAAATATGTTCTTTATTCTGTTTATTTACAGACCACACACACACGCCTCCACAAGTTCATACACGCATAAATGCATGCAAAGGTGGATCTATGCTAAGGAACATTTAAGCACAGTGCAATCATCATCCAGTATCCATGCCCATTCCATGTATGTTGTTAGAAGACGTTAAACATACAAGTTACAACTGGCTCCCCCTCTGCATATGACTGTTACCAATAAATCATTCAAGTCTAATTTCTTTTCCGGCTTTGGTGTTCCAACCAACACACCTAGACCAACTCAACTCCCCTATTTAAGAGCTATACTGTAGCTTTTACAGTCCTGAGCTATTCTCATTAACATTTGGTTGATTAAAATTAAAAATTTACTCAAAGGAAAGTAAAAGTACACCTTTATAAAACTACTAACTAAATTATAATTTCTGAGAAAAGCTACTCAATTACAGTAGTTTGAGTATTTGTAATTTGTTACTTTACACCATTGCTAAGAAAAGTTCAAAGTGCTGGTCAGTTGGTTATTTGCCCAATAAATGGCAATAAGCTACTATATATATATATATATATATATATATATATATATATATATATATATTCTATTTATTGAACGTGTTTTTGGTACCTCATAAAGTGTGGTTATGTTGACCAAGCTAATCCACCTATAATGCTTAAAATACCACTAAAATGCAGTATTTAAACCTCATAATTCAATAAAAATGAGGCGAATAACTGCAAAAAGGTCAATTTTTGAAGAAAAAAGAACCACCCTTTTCAAAAGGCTGGCTACGAGCCTGTATAAGATAACAAATAGATGAGATTTAAAAATGTTTTTAGTGTGGTTGTTTGGTGGTGGTGTTAACATGCACACAGGCTGCGACCAATCAAATTCTGCTTGCTTCAGTGATATTGGAATGCCTGACCTTCCCAACTACTCCTTTCCCAGGAAGACTTCTCTCAATCCAATCCAATTAGCTTAACAGTGTGTCACCACTACACCAGTTCTGAGCAGCGGGAAGCCACCACACATGCGCTCTCACAAACACACCGCCAATCATTCACACACATATTTCACTTTTTCTAGTGCAGGTCAAATGATTAAAAATGGTAATTTTCTGTTTCTCTGTCAAATCTGCTTCTTCTGGTTTGCTATTGAGATGTTGGATGTTCTGGATCACATGGGTATTAAAATGATTTAGTGAGGTTATTTAATAAGTACAAAACCTTTATGTTATTTACAATACACTAGCATTCTACCACTACTATACCTGCCAGATGTACTAAATATGTCCCACAAACTGAAATATGGCTATGACTTCTCATCCTTTTCCTGTATAGGAAGTGGCTTTGCACATTTTACATGAAGCTCTAGAAATACGTTATGGGGACTTGATTTGATTATAAGCCTTCAGTTTCAGTGGTGTAAAGTAACGCATTACAAATGCTCTAATTACTGTAATTGAGTAGTTTTTCTCATCATATTGAACTGGCTGCTTTGTAAATGCAGCAAACTATTAGGAAGCATTAAAAGTGTCTGAAAAGATGTCCAAAATCTTTACACACAATGATTGAGAGACTGTTCAGGGGTCACCAATCTCGGTCCTGGAGGGCCGGTGTCCCTGCAGGTTTTAGCTCCAACTTGCTTCAACACACCTGCCTGGATGTTTCAAGTATACCTAGTAAGACCTTGATTAGCTTGTTCAGGTGTGTTTGATTAGGGCTGGAGCTAAAATCTGCAGGACACCGGCCCTCCAGGAACAAGTTTGGTGACCACTGGTTTAGATGCATATCACTGATGAGAAGATGACGCATGACTTAAACAGTCTAAAACAGTAAATGCACTACAGAATATTACGTTTACACTCACACAAACACAAATTGCATGTAAATGCATCAGTTTTTTACAGCATAATACTCAATACTCTTGAGTACTTTAAAAGGGCTAATTTTTACTTAGAGTAATATTTACAGCACATACTTTTACTCTTGCACTACATTTTTTGGCAAGTAATGGAACTTTTACCTGAGTAGGATATTTCAGTAATCATTCCAGCACTGTTCAGTTTAACACCGAGTTAAAAACAATAACACAAAGTGTGTTTTGTGCGTTCACTGTAAATAAGGCTGATTTTAAAAAAGTACTAAAAGTGCTTAATTGGCTTAAAAGTTCCATATAGCACATATCTTGAAAGGGGGTTGTGTGAAATCTGACTTTTTAAGCATGTTACAACTAACCCTTCGTCTGTTACAACTTGCCCCGCAGGTGGGGTAAATAGTAACATTTTTACTCCTTACACTTTTGGCAAGGCAAGGCAAGTTTTTTTAAATAGCACATTTCATACACAATTGTAATTCAACAAACTTTACATAAACAAGAATTAAAGAAACAAGAAAATAATAAATAAAATAATAACAAATTATTTAAACTGGTAAGAACAGATTAAAATGTGTTAAATCAGGTTATAAAAAAATGAAAAAGAAGAGAAAAACATTATAGTGTGATCTGTGGGATGTAGCACAGGGCTCATTTAGTAAAGGCACAGCTAAACAGAAGTGTTTTCAGTCTGGATTTAAATGGCCCTATTGTTGGAGCACATCTAAACATTTCTGGAAGTTGATTCCAGCAGCAGGAGGAGTATACTGAAGGCGGATTCACCCTGCTTTGAACTCTTGGAATTTCTAACTTACTTGATCCTAATGATCTGAGTGTTCTGGTAGTTTTGTATTCAGTGAGCATATCTGTAATGTATTGAGGCCCTAGACCATTTATTGATTTATAAACAAGTAATTATATTTTAAAATCTATTCTGAATGTAACTCAGAGCCAGTGTAAAGACCCGAGGACAGGTGTAATGTGGTATGATTTTCTAATTCTGGTTAGAATTCTGGCCACAGTGTTCTGGATGAGCTACAACTCTCTGACTGTTTTTTTTGGGAAGGCCGGTGAGGAGTTTGTTACAGTAATTCACCCTGCTGCTGATAAAACCATGAACAAGTTTCTCTATAGTCCTCACTGGAAACAAAGCATCTAATTCTTGCAATACTGCAAAGAAACCATAGGTCTGGCGATCATACTATCAGTGCTCATTTGTAGGGGAGGCTTGTGTGTTGTTGATTTAAAAAAAAAATTGGTTTATCTAACCCCATTACTTTGTTCATTATTTGGCCAAAACAAAAAGTGTAACTTTGTCCCCACTCTCCCCTATAGAACAAAAACAACAAAAGTTTTAGATGTTACTCCACTCTTACATTTTTAGCTAGGAATTCACTTGGGGCAAAATGGTTTAAACTAGGCATGGGCCAGTATGAGTTTCTGACTGTATAAATATCATGGTTTTACAGTGTCACAGTATTATGATTACTGCTCTAAAATATATTATTTTTAAATGTCTGGGTAACCAACAACAACTTTCCCTCTATTGAAAACAATATATTTTATTTCAGGAAACATTTGGAACAGTAATAATGTCAGGCTAAATATTTAAAATAAATAATTGACTTCTGCTGTCTTCATTAGTTTCAAAAACACAGATTTCTTTACAAAACATACCCCTTACAAATACCTTAGAAATGATATAACAGAACATTTTAGCGGTTTTAAAACCTTGACTTTTGCAAATCACTGTAAACCTTGAAACTGGTTATCATCCCATGCCTAGTTGAAACCACATTATTTGCAGGACATATATGGCATCTTTAATCCTTTCCCTAACTAAACAAATAACAAGCAGTGAATCCCAAATGGCATACTGTATAGCCTATCACTCTCTTAAAAGAGTGAAAACAATCATCCAAACTGCACTGGTCAAAACTGGCCACTTTGAAGTGCTCTCAGAATGAAAGATTTCAAGGGCACAAGTGATGGATACTTCAGGCCTCCATGAATGCAGAAAAGTTGTTTGGTGTCAAACATTGTGTTCTATTCAGAAAGGCTCATTCCTATGCACTATCCTTTCATCCTAACCTTTTAAAGCTGGGTAAAGCCTTCAAATGCGAAGATTAGGCCAAAGGGATGAGCCCCTCTGAATAGAATACAGTGTAGTTGGAGAAACTCGAAAGATCTTTTCTCGTACAGTTGTTCAATGGTGACCTCATGTGGACACTGCGCATACCTTAAGAAAACAAATTAAATATATTTGCAATATGCAATTTTTTATGTGTTATACATATGATTTTAAGTAAACTGGGCTATTGCTGTTATTTTTATTGTTATTAATATTATTTTACTTTTCATTTGAAAAAGGCAATCCTGTTAACAAAGTGTGTCGGGATCTAAAAAGATGGGTACCCTCTCATTGAACAGCATAATTATTCAAGAGTAAAGTAATCATTCATTCATTAGTCCCTTTATTAATTTGGGGTCGCCACAGCGGAATTAACCGTCAATTTAGCATATGTTTTGCGCAGCGGATGCCCTTCTAGCCGCAATCCATCACTGGGAAAAAGTATGTAAAAATATCAAATTGTGCACAAAATTTCATGGCTGGTTGCTTACACCGCAATATGGACATTTATAATGTTTGTACTTTTTTTAACATTTATATCTCATATGGAACTATTTAAAAGTATTTAATATTTACATAATTTATCTTTGCATAGCATCAGTGAGCGTTTAAAACCAAGCCACACTTTTCACGAGAATGAATTTTTTTAAAAAAAATCTGAAAACATATTTCCCAAAACCAGGACATCCCTAACTGCATGAGGTTCAACGCCCTCTTATGGACTGAACAAACGCATGACGCTAAAAGCCATGTGAGCACAGGAATGTCTGACGGAGTCATCAGCAGCACAGCCATACAATGCGCCTTTATATTGTCTTTGGCTGATGGCGACTGATAACATTCAACGTGGAACTATTTTTCGTGAGAGAAGCAAGTTGGGATTTGATTGACGCAGAATTCTTGGTTACAGGCGGAGCAACTGAAATGGAGAAAAGAAACCGAAACCTAAGTCTCCTCCATTATAAACAAAAGATTTACCTGTAGTTTTCTTTACTCAGTCTAGCAGGTTTACATCGGCATAGCAGGCTGTACGATGGACAGCAGGTGAGTAGCCTGTTATTTTATATAAGTAATATTTTAGATCGAAGTTGTTTGTTTGCTGCCATATGTTAAAGTTACTTAAATGTAATTTATCTGTCAACAATTGGGCTAAATTTTTGAGTTTGTTTTCCTGTTAAACAAACACGAAGATAATATGACATTGTTGTTGGGTAAATTCAGCCATTAACTTTAACTGTATTTTTGGTTAATATGGATGTCAATAGCTGTTTTTTTCCAACATTCTTCAGATTCTCTTTTAATGTGTTGAACAGAAGAAATAAATTCTTAAAGGTTGATTGTTTATGAGTAAATTGTGTGGAAATGTACATTTTGAGTGAACAATCCCTTAACTTAGATAAGTCATTTCAGAGTGAAATCCTTGAGTTCGTTTATAACCAGATGAAGGAGCTTAACTTTTGTCCATCAGATGAGATAAGTTATATAACAAAACAACAACAACAGCAACACAGAAAGCAGAAAAACTAGATAGAAGTAAAGTTGGTTTTATATTCGCACATTCCGACCTCTGCGTTCAATAAGTTTGTTAATCAGCAAGTAAAGAATCCAAATTCAATTATTTACCGTTGTAGTCGATTATGAGCAAAATGTACGCCACACTTTTCTGTCAAACTCAGCGTTTTAAAGGAGTAGAAAAACACGCTTACCTCTATGAAGGAGGTGACGTCATCGCTTTTTTGAGGGACCGTCTACAAACTATCAGTTTGTAAAATCAAGCTGCCAACGTTCACTGTCTATAGTAAGCCTACTACTTAATCTTAATAAAATCATCTGCAAACAATATATCACAGACATGTTTATGTATACATTATATTAAAACAATTTAAAAACATAAAACCTTTAGAATAGACTTAGTAATTTAGAATAGTATATTAGTATAGAATAGTAATTTTATACACTGATTTTTGAGTTATGATTAATGTATATACACTTTACACAAGTATACATGTTCATGTGTAATATGAATAACTATATATGTTTTTTCCCCTCTTCTTTTTCCTAATTATTTACAGATTGTACGCAAGCAAAAGATGGCCAGATTGAGACTTGTGAACTTCACCACTGGCTCCCTCCTTTAAAATGTTACTCTGCTGAAGTACATGTGAATAAAAAAATATTTTCAAGACAGCAAATAACAGTGTCATGAAATGAGTTCGGCTCATGTGGACGAAAAGAGTCCAAAATGAGAATCTATGCATTTGGGGATTTACAATGCTATTATTCACTTTGGAATGTTTTTTTTTTTTACTTGCATGTATTTGCACAATATTTTTATACATAATTGCCACATATTACATAGTAATGTAATAAGTTGTACTTTCATTACATATTAAGTGAGATTCTTGCCAATGTTTGTTTCATGTCCCATGTGTCAATATAGAGCTGCACTAGGAAGACCAGCAGACCTTTTGTAATTTGTGTTTGTAATCAATGTAATTGCATGATAAAATGATGAAATGGGAGATGTAATGGATTTATTCTTAAATTATCATTGTGTATGAAGTGTGCTTTTTAAATAAACTTGTTTTGAAATGCAAGAAAAATACTATAAAAATATGCTTATAAATATTCTTATAAATTCATATACAAGATATATTTATGAAAAGCTACTTGTGAGTGATAGATAATATAATTATTGATTTCTGATGTTAATTTGTTGATGTTACAATGGTTGGACTTAAAGAAATTAAGACATCTACATCCACAATGAACACTACAGAAAATATGCACACAAATATTAATATAAATTATTTTACAACATATATTTATGAAAATGTACTTGTGAGTGATAGATAATATAATTATTGATGTCTGATATTAATTTATTGATCCTACAATAATTGTAAAGCAAGATATTAGGATATCTGCATTTACCATGAAAAAAACAAACTGTGGAAAATATGCTTACAATTATCAATATAATTTTTTTTACAAAATATATTTATGAAAAGCTACTTGTGAGTCATAGATAATATTATTACTGATGGCTGGATTTAATTTCTTTATCCTACATTTATTTCATGAAAAACACTACAGAAATTATGCTTATAAATATTAATATTAATTCATATCTAACATACATTTATTAAACGGTGCTTGTGAGTTTTAGATAATATTATTAATGATGTCTAATTTAATTTGTTGCTCCTACAACATTTGGACATTAGAAAATTAAGATTTTTACATTTACAATGAAAAAAACACACTACAGAAATTATGTGCACATAAAAATGAATATAAATTAATGCAAACCATATATTTATCAAAATGTGCTTGTTAGTGATAGACAATATAATTATTGATGCCTGATGTTTATTTGCTGACCCTACAATGATTTTAAAACACAATATTAACATATTTACAATCATTAAAAACACACACTGCAGAAATTATGAACACAAATTTTAATATAAATTAATATACATTATATATTTATGAAAAGCTTCTTGTGAGTGATAGACAATATTACTGCTGATGTCTGATATTAGTTTGTTGATGCTACAATTATTGTGAAACAAGATATTTACATTCACACTGAAAAACACACACTACAGTAAATATTCACACAAATATTAATATAATTTTTTTATGACATATATTTCTCAAAAGGTACTTGTGAGTGATAGATAATATTATTACTGATGTCTGATAGCAATTTGTTGATCCTACAATGATTGGACATTAAGAAGTTAAGTTATTTACATTCACTATGAAAATCATACACTAAAAAAATATGGTCGTAAATATTCATTTAAATTATGTTACACCATATATTTCTCCACAAATTTTTATGAGTTATACACAATAATATTACTGATGTCTGATGTTAATTTGTTAATCCTACATTGATTGTAAAACAAGATATAAGGATATTTACATTCACTGAAAAACATAAACTACTGATATTATGATCACAAATATTTATATAAATTCATTTACAACATATAAACATATATAAAAAGGTACTTGTAAGTGATAGACAATATGATAACCGATGGCTAATTTCAATTTGTTGATGCTACAATGATTGGACACTGTATGTGTTGTTCATTGTTTTAACTGTTTTGTTACATTGTAATTACAACTATAGGTTCATATTTTGCTAATTGTAGAAACATGTACTTGTGACTGATAGACAATATTATTACTGATGGCTGATTTTAATTTGTTGATCCTACAATGATTGGACAACAAGCTATTAACATATTTAAATTCACTGTGAAAAACACACACTACAGAAATTATGTGCATAAATATTAATAATAGTTAATGTAGACCATATATTTCTCAAAAATTACGTGTGAGTGATAGACAATATTACTGCTGATGGCTGATTTTAATTAGTTAATCCTACAATGATTGTGGAACAAAATATTAAGATATCTGTGTTTACTGTAAAAAACATATGCTGTGGAAAATATGCTTATAATTATCAATATAAATTTATTTGCAAGATATATTTATGAAAAGCTTCTTGTGAGTGATAGACAATATTACTGCTGATGTCTGATAATAGTTTGTTAATGCTACAATTATTGTGAAACAAGATATTAAGATATCAACGTTTACCATGAAAAATATGTACTATAGAAAATATGCTTATAAAAAATTATATTAAATTGTTTGCAACACGTATTTATATAAGGCTACTTGTGAGTGATAGGGGATATCATGACTGATGTTTGATGTTCAATTGTTGATGCTACAGTGATTGGACAACAAAATATTAAGATATTTACATTCACTGTGATGAAAAACACTACAGAAATTATGCTTATAAATATGAATATAAATTCATTTACAACATATAGTTGTGAAAATGTACTTGAGAGTAATAGATAATATACTTATTGATGTCTGATTTTAATTTGTTAATCCTACAATGATTTTGGAAAAAAAAAAAAAACTTGATAGAAAATATGCTTTAAAAGTTCACCATATAATTGCTGTGCACATTAGTAAAATAATTGATGTGAGTACAACATAAAATGAAGACTCATGTGGGAAAAAATTTTGCTTAAACTAATATATTTTAAAGTACTTTTTTACACCTGTAAATGTATAGAAGATTGATTATAGGCAAACTTAAATAATACGAGAAAAATATTGAAATAAATAAATATTATACGTAAAACAATTGATGTCACCACAACATGAAGATTGATGTGGGAAAAATTGGTTAAATTACAATGTATAAAAAACATAATTTTATATTTTTAAATAAAAAGATTAAATACATGCAGTGGTTGTAAGCAAACTTAAAAAAATACAAAATAATATTGAAAGAGATGTTATTAGTAAAAGAAATGATGAGTACACTAGACTAGAACATGTAGACAAATGCTGGAAAAATTATGCTAATAAAAAATATTTTTATTAAGTCATTCATTTATTTTCTTTTCAGCTTAGTTTTTATTAATCCGGGGTCGCCACAGCGGAATGAACCGCCAACTTATCCAGCAAGATTTTATGCAGCGGATGCCCTTCCAGCCACAACCCATCTCTGGGAAACTATTTTTATATATATTTAAAAAAAAAAACACACATTCATGACTTTGACTTTAGGCTAACATAAAAAGTAACAAAAATACTTATAATATTCTTTAAATAAGTTATACGAGTACAACAAAAATAAAGATTCATGCTTGAAATCAATACCACCATTACCACCACCATTGAAATATTATTTTACTATTGTGCACAAGAATTATTAAGGTGGACTTTTAAAGCATATTTTCTATAGTGTTTTTTTTTTAATTGTAAAATATATTAATATCTTGTTTCAAAATCATTGTAGGATTAACAAATTAAAATCAGACATCAATAAGTATATTATCTATTACTCTCAAGTACATTTTCACAACTATATGTTGAATTTATATTCATATTTATAAGCATAATTTCATAATTAATTAAGCATAATTAATTGTGTTTTTCATCACAGTGAATGTAAATATCTTAATATTTTGTTGTCCAATCACTGTAGCATCAACAATTGAACATCAAACATCAGTCATGATATCCCCTATCACTCACAAGTAGCCTTATATAAATACGTGTTGCAAACAATTTAACATTAATTTTTATAAGCATATTTTCTACAGTACATATTTTTCATGGTAAACGTTGATATCTTAATATCTTGTTTCACAATAATTGTAGCATCAACAAACTAATATCAGACATCAGCAGTAATATTGTCTATCACTCACAAGAAGCTTTTCATAAATATATCTTGCAAATAAATTTATATTGATAATTATAAGCATATTTTCCACAGCATATGTTTTTTTATAGTAAACGCAGATGTCTTAATATGTTGTTGTGAAATCATTGTAGGATAAAGAAATAAATATCAGACATCAGTCATAATATTATCTATCACTCACAAGTACTTTTAGAGAAATATATGGTGTAAAAAAATTCATTAATATTTATGATCATAATTGCTGTAGTGTGTCTTTTTCATAAATGTAAATATCTTAATATCTTGTTTTTAGCGTCAACAAACTATTATCAGACATCAGCAGTAATATTGTCTATCACTCACAAGAAGCTTTTCATAAATATATAATGTATATTAATTTATATTAAAATTTGTGTTCATAATTTCTGCAGTGTGTGTTTTTAATGATTGTAAATATGTTAATATTGTGTTTTAAAATCATTGTAGGGTCAGCAAATAAACATCAGGCATCAATAATTATATTGTCTATCACTCACAATCACATTTTGATAAATATATGGTTTGCATTAATTTATATTCATTTTTATGTGCACATAATTTCTGTAGTGTGTTTTTTTCATTGTAAATGTAAAAATCTTAATTTTCTAATGTCCAAATGTTGTAGGAGCAACAAATTAAAATTAGACATCGTTAATAATATTATCTATAACTCACAATGACCTTTTTATAAATATATCCTGTACATTAATTAATATGCTTTATTTATGCAAATAATTTCTGTAGTGTGTGTTTCATTGTGAATGTAAACATCCTGATATCTTGTTTCACAATCATTGTAGGGTCAGCAAATGAACATCGGACATCAGTAATACTATTGTCTATCACTCACAAGCACCGTTTAATAAATGTATGTTAGATATGAATTAATATTAATATTTAAAAGCATAATTTCTGTAGTGTTTTTTTTTATGAATCTAAATATCTTAATATCTTGTTGTGAAATAAATGTAGGATAAAGAAATTAAATCCAGCCATCAGTAATAATATTATCTATGACTCACAAGTAGCTTTTCATAAATATATTTTGTAAAAAAAAAACTATATTGATAATTATAAGCATTTTTTCCTCAGTTTTTTTTTTTCATGGTAAATGCAGATATCCTAATATCTTGCTTTACAATTATTGTAGGATCAACAAATTAATATCAGACATCAATAATTATATTATCTATCACTCACAAGTACATTTTCATAAATATATGTTGAGAAATAATTTATATTAATATTTGTTTGCATATTTTCTGTAGTGTTTTTCATTGTGGATGTAGATGTCTAAATTTCTTAAAGTCCAACCATTGTAGTGTCAACAAATTAATATTAGGCATCAGTAATAATATTGTGTATCACTCATAAGTAGCTTTTCATAAATATATCTTGTAAATAAATTTATATTGATAATTCTAATCATATTTTCTACAGTATGTTTTTCATGTTAAACACAGATATCGTAATATCTTGTTGTTCAATCATTTTAGGATTAACAAATTAATATCAGACATCAGTCATAATATCCCCTATCACTCACAAGCACTTTTTGAGAAAAATATGGTGTGAAATTTTTTATTAATAATTGTGAGCATAATTTCTGTAGTGTTTTTCATGAATGTAAATATCTTAATATTTTGTTGTGAAATAATTGTAGCATCAACAAATTAATGTCAGACATCTGTAATAATAATATCTATCACTCACAAGTAAGTTTGGAGAAATATATGTTCTACAATAGTTTATAGTAATATTTTAGAGCATAATTTCTGTAGTGTTTGTTTTTCATTGTGTATGTAAATGTGTAATTTTTTTTGTTGTCCAATCATTGTAGGATCAACAAATTATAATGATCATAATAAATGCACACTATTTATGATATAATGATAGTTTAATGTACAACAACATGTCATAAACAGAAAAAACAGAAATGACAGTGTTACAATATTTAGTTAAGACAATGGGTAAGACAGAGGTAAGGAAAACAGCAGGGCACAGGTTGCATGCATGTTCTGCAGGGTCCACAGATGTTGATGTGCACAGGCCATGATTTCAAAACCTATTTAAACAAATCAAATGACAAGGTTACATATAAATCAGAAACAAAAAATTGTGTGTATGTATATATATATATATATATATATATATATATATATATATATATATATATATATATATATATATATATATATATAAAATTACATGAAATATATTAATCAATAAAAACATGTCATTGTAATGCAAAATGTAAGTGATGTGTACCGTTATAGTAATTGGCTGAATTCCTTTTGTTCGTTTTTCAACAACCTGAGAACTTTTGACTCGGTCCCTTTGTTGTTTTTCACGCGATATTGAATATTCGGTCTGAAATCGCATGTAAGTAACACTTCAAACAACACTAGCATGATTTCTTTGACCATGAACGCTGTTGTAGTTTGATAATAGTTGTCTGCTAGTGTGATTTCGCTATTTGGAATTTGCAAACAATAGTTTTCTAATATTTTATTAGGGGAGCGTAAGTGCGAATGTGCAAATATAAAACCAACTTTACTTCTATAAAAACTAGTTAGTTAATTTTTAATTTCTGTGCCTATTCTTGCATTGTTTTTGTTAGGTCTTAAAACCAATTTAAATTGTATGAAGCTTTGAGTCGACTAACACATTTTTAAAGTGTATTTGTAATATTTTCCTTATATATATATATACATTAGTTTAAAATGGATGTAATGGTTCTAAACTTGGGTGTTAACATTTTTTTGTCCACAAACAAACAAACAAACAAACAAACAAACAAACAAACAAACAATGTGGCTTAGACTGTAATTATTGAATATAGTTTTCCAGTGTGTCCTCTTTATAATCCTCCTGAGCATCCTGGAATTAAAAAAAACAAACAAACATTGCTGTATTTATCTAAAATAGACGTCAAACATTGTTATCAGTGAGAAGCCGAATTTATGACCAAAGACTACGTAATTCTTGAAAGAATTGTTGAGATAGACTGATGATTAGCTGATACTATGCTAAATGCATAAAATCTATTTGACAAAAATGATCACCATAGACATTTAGGTCAATATACTTTCAAAATCCGAGTTTTCAATATCAGCTTCATGATTGTTTACATTTGAAACATTTGGTGACACAGTTGGCATGAATTTATGTGATTGCAAAATATTGCGAAAGTTAGAGCAAAACCCAACAGTGTATTGCAGTAAACGCGATGCAACAAACTGTTGTCACGAACCTAACCTAGATATTATCACAAAAGGGAACTTCAGCTCTCTTGTTTTGCATGACTGTAGGGCAACCTAAAATCTGCCCTGCCCATTCAGAATGAGCTGCTAGTTATGTTAAGATATAATATCATATATTATACATATTTTGAAATGCTTTAATCACATAATTATGTGCTCTGATTAAATATATTATTGATTTCTAACAAATTTTGCTGTTTTGATTCTTGAAACAGAGAAGAACTACAGCATCTCCTCTCCGAGTATGTCGAAAACACTCTAAACTACATCCAGACAGTGAGAGACTTCTGCGACAAGCAACCAAAATGGACCCTTCAGAGAGAGACAGAGCTGGAGAACATGAGAGACATCAAGGACCAAGCAGACCAAGTCAGTCTGAAGTTTGACCACGTTCAGCGCTCCGAGAACAAGTTCAAGGCTTTCGGGGAATTCCTGTGGAGTGGTTTAACTCAGGTCACAGCTGAGTCCAGATATCAGGAGCTGGAGAAGAATCTGGGTGCCGTCCTGAAGGACACCCTCGAGGGGCTAGAGAAACTTGACCACTTTCTGGATGCAGTGGAGAAGCTTAGAGTCACATCGCTGTTTGTGTTCACCGGACGAAGCTTCTTGCCAAAAGGAGTGAGTCCAGAGAGTGTGCGATCGGTCATCACAGCTGCCAGGATGGCTTCTCCTCTTCTAATTCACTTCAAACGAAATGCAGAAACCTTTTTCCTTCCTTCACTCAGTAATCTGGATGTCCTGACCTTTCAGCTGGACAAATACATACGAATCACAGAACAGATTTGTGAGAGGATTGAGAAAAAGTTAGTACTTGAATTCATTTGTTTTACTTATTTGATTGACACAGGGTAGCAAATCATCTTAGTGGCAATTTCAAAGTAAACTGGTAAATTTCATTATTATTGCATTATTTTTTTTTCCTGTCTTACAGATCCAAGAGTTTTTTGTGGTTTGAAGATGTCTATAGGTAAGTGTTCTAAATCATACAATTAAGAAAAAAAAAAACAATAAGAGAAGATGAGGAAAGATTCAAACATCATAATTCACAGAGGTGTATGAACATATTAATACAAGTGAGTATTGTGACGCTACACTACCTGACAAAAGTCTTGCTGCCTTTTAGGAACAACAAATAATAAATTTGACTTCTAGTTGATCATTTGGTATCAGAAGTGGCTTATATGAGAGGCAAATGCCTCTTGATTACGCTTATTTACCAAAATAAAATATGATAATGCCTTGATTTTTAATTATTTAATTAGGTCAGAAAGGTCTAACTTTGCTTAGACAAAAGTCTTGTCACTAACAGAAACAATGTACAATATAGAATATAAAGTCATGGTGCAGTGAGAAAAGAATTAATATTGTGTATGACTCCCATGAACTTGGAGGACTGCATCCATACATCTCTGCAATGGCTCGAATAACTTATTAATAAAGTCATCTGGAATGGCAAAGAAAGTGCTCTTGCAGGACTCTCAGTTGTCAGGACTCTCATCTTCAATGCCTCCTCCTTCATCTTACCCCAGACATGCTCAATAATGTTCATATCTGGTGACTGGGTTGGCCAATCCTGGAGCATCTTGACCTTCTTTGCTTTCAGGAACCTTGATGTGGAGGCTGAAGTATGAGGAGGAGCGCTACCCTGCTAAAGAATTTGCCCTCTCCTGTGGTCCTCCTCAGGCTATTGATGTTGCCATCCACTCTGCAGATCTCTCACACACCCCCATACTGAATGTAACCCCAAACCATGATTTTTCCTTCACCAAACTTGACTGGTTTCTGTGAGAGTCTTAGGTCTATGCGGGTTTTAATAGGTCTTTTATAGTATCTATGATGATTAGGATGCAGTTCAACAGATGATTCATCTAAAATCCACCTTCTGCCACTTTTCCAAATGATCAACTAGAAGTCAAGTTATTATTTGTTGCTCTTACAACTGGGATAAACGACTTTTGTCAGGTATTGTATGCTTGGTGATCATGTATTCTCAAAAATTACTGTTTCAGCATTTATATAAGATTAATGCAAGTGACTTTATATTGGATTAAAGTAAAACTTTATGATGCCAGACGCACTGCTACTTACACTAAACATAAACTGTGACAGGAAGAGGCACAAGAATGCACTGCTATTATTAGCATTAGCAAATTAGCTTGTTAGTTGGTAATTAAAAGAAGCTGTAAAGTTGTACTAAAAACCACCACAGTACATATAGATAAGTTGTTTTTAAATTGTGAATTGTCTTTTCACGGAAGAAAGAAAGCACTAAAGGAGATCAATAACAGACATGTTGTTTGCAAAATCCATAATTTGAGGAACACTTTTTCTGAGAGTTGTGTTCAGGTGATGATATAAATAAATATATTTACTTTCCTCACAGTAAGAAAATAACACACAAATACGCAAAACGACAACAAAAACAGCAGTTAAGAAGAAATCTAATCATAGGGATATTGGTATCGTATGTTTGGACCAGCTCTGCAATTCAGCACTTCAGTCATGTCAAGATAATTAATATTTAACTTCAGAAAATAGATTGCTTCAATGTTAAGATCATAAAGTGGACAATTCACTTTCTGAAAAGTACATAGGTAAACGGTTATCAAGAAAAGCTTTATAGCAGGATGTAATACACACAGTGCATTCAGAAAGTTTTTAAAGCCCCCTTTTTCCCATGTTTTTTAATGTTACATCCATATTTTGAAAAGGATTGAGTTTATTATTTTTCCTAAAAAAACGTGAAAATACGCTTGCTTGAGATCTTTGCTAATTTCTTACAAATAAAAAATAAGATCAACAGTTTCACATGTTCATACTGTAACTAATTATAGTCTTTGGTCAGTACTTCGTTGAAGCACCTTTGACACTGGTTACAGCATAATGTCTTTTTTTAGCATGATGTTACAAGCTCGCCACACATTTTTTGTGCAGTTTTTCCTCATTCTTATTTGCAGTACCTCTCATGCTCCTTCAGGTTGGAAGGGGAGCGTGGTGTACAGCCATTTTGGATCTTTCCAGAGATGTTTAATCAGGTTCAGCTCTGGGCTCTAGGTGGACCACTAAACTACATTCACAGAGTTGTCATTTAGTTCCTCCTTTGTTAACTTGGCTGTGTGATTATGGTGGTTTTCCTGGTAAAAGATAGACATCACCCCGGACTTAGCTTGGTTTGTTCTCACGTGCACTCTTAACTGTGGAACATTATATAGATATGCTTTTCCTTAAGTGTACAATTGTGTGATATTTATGATTTTTATGCTCATTTTTTTCACATTGTCATTACTGGATATTGTCTGTAGAGGTTTGAGTAAAATAATGACTTCTAGATGCACTGTATATAACTGTTAACAATATTGATTTATTTTGTTTACCTAAATAATTCTACAAGCACTTTAATATATATTCTTTACCCAAAATAAACAAAAGGTTGTCCTCATATAATGTTGTATGTTACATGGACTTGGTAATGTATATATAATGAGCTCATTAAGATTTTCCCATTTAAAATTCTTCCTTCAAAATAGAAAATGGCAGCTTTGGAATACAGTCTGTCACAACCCCATATTGTGTTGCAATGCAAGATCTTTGACAGTACACAGACCAAAATAATCTATCATGACCTTTAGGCCAAATTAAGTGAATTGAGAAAGATATACGAGTATGGGTGGAAGGGGGATTCTTAAAGACGAAGATGACTGGAGTAGAAAGCTCTGGTAATTTATAGTGTGTCGGTAATCATCTGATTGGTACAAATATATGGAGCTAATGCAGTACCAGCTGTGTTTAATCAATAAATAAATAAACTATAAAATAAACCACACTTATTACAGTTTAACAGTAAATGTTTGGCATCTTTCCTCATCTTACCCTACAATGCAAGCACTTTCATTCCTTATGGTGTTTGAGATACAATAAGATTGTTAAACTTGTTAAAACTCTTTACAGTTGTAAAACGGGTGAACCTCTAGTGAAGTTCAGTTTGAACTTAAGTGAGGACTCCATGCAAAACATGCTCGATCATTTGAAGCAGTTGTGCAAAATAAGGTGAGACCTCTAGCTTTTTTTATTTGATCAGCTGCTTCTTTTTTGTCTTGAATGCCTGCTGTAAACAATATACACTTTTATTGTTTAGGATGGATCAGAACATCAGGCTGACCTTCATTTTTCAGGAACATGCTCAGCGCTTCATTGGTATATTCAGTCAGCGTTGCTCTAGAATGGAGCAGTTCCTGACAGATCTGGAGGAGAGCGCAGTTCAGCTGGACAGGATGAAGATGGGCGCCAGTATCTCCACTGTGGCTGGCAGTTCAGTAGGGGTGGCTGGAGGTGTTTTGTCCATCGTTGGTCTTGCTCTTGCCCCTGTAACAGCAGGGGTGTCATTGGCTCTTACACTGACAGGTGTTGGTCTTGGCGTGACCAGTGGTGTCAATGGTATAGTAACAGGCATCACTGAAGCAGCAGTCAACAACCATCATGGGAAAAATGCACAGAACATTTTTCAGAGATACATGGAGGATGTTGGGAAGATACTAGACTGTCTGGAGGTGGCCAGTAGTGAGGAGCGTTTGGAAGCTGTAGCAGCAATTGATACTGTAGATGTGTCTGCAGCAGGAAGGCTGATTGTGCGTGTTGGAGGAGTAGCCACATGTATTGATGCTATAGTAGATGGAGCTTCAGCTGTAACAGTGCTCAGAAGTGAAGAAGTGATTGCGACCGCAGCTAAGATCGGGCTACAGGAAGCACAGAGCGCTCGCAGCATTCCCAAACTAGCTGCAGATCTCCCTGACATTGGACAGCTGGCAAAGGGGACCCCCCTAGCACTTACAAAGTCTGCTAGAGCTGGATTTATCACTCTAAATGCCCTCTTTATTGGCCTAGATGCCATTTTTATTTGCAAAGAGAGCATAAGTCTGGCTAAGGGCAGTAAGAGTGATGCCTCTCAGCTCATCCGCTCCAGAGCAACTGTGTGGAAATCTGAGCTGGAGGCCTGGCAGAAGATCCATGATTCCTTATGCATTGGAATATGGAGATTTAGGAAGAGCCAGGAAGTGTTAGAGCAACTGTTTTTGCCATAAAATACTAAAACACTCAACAAGAGTTAGAATTAGCATCAAGCTTTTGCACTGAACGAGCAACTATTTAGAACTGCAATTAGACCTGCTCTTATAGAACGCTAGTCAGTTTAACTGCACAACACTTTCAGACTTGTTCGATATAACAATTTATGTCTGTAAAATAAAAGCAATAAGAAATATTCATGCACTAGCAATAAATGTTTTAAGAGTTAAAAATCAATGTACTGTGGATATACTGTAAGCTTAAAGCTGTTTATTCTGTGTATATGTTTTACATTGTAAAGTCAGCTGGAGTTTTGAATAAATGCAAATAACAGTGATAAAACAATGTTGATTTTGTTGAGGGTGGTGTGAGGGTTTTGTGTGCTTCAGTTAAACACTGACAGATCAAGTCATATGATAAAATGGGCGTATAAGCATAAAAGGATATCCTGTAGACTGTTTATAACAGCTTTTATTTTTATTTTTTCAACGATGATAGAAAAACAGGCAACTTTTGCTAATTGTAAGCTAGAAGTGAGTTGTATTAACAATAATAATGAATATGAAAGTTTTACTTCTGAAATATCAGAAAAATCCTGGTTTAATGTAGAACTTGAGTTAAAAAGTTAGATGTTTTTGAGCTTTGGGGAAGTCATAATGTTGTAAGATTCCCAATGACAGAACAAACAAAACATTACAACAATATTACAACAAGTTGTGACAGTACAAGGGTCATTCATGGCATTCGGTAATATTTCAGTCCCCCATATTTTTTTAAGTGGTTGTTGAATAAAATGTCATTTTAAAAGCATCACAATTTCATCATTGATTTACTTTGTTCATTATAATGAATAAAAAAAATTACATTAAAAACATTTTTAGTATAAAAAAATATAATATTTTGGTCACAAACCAAGCTTGTCAATTTGTTATGTCCCAGAGGCACTGTCAAAATTTAATAAGATGCACACAGTGTCTACATTTTTTTACTTATTAAAACTATTTATTTGTGTTCTTTTCTTGTGATTAAAAAAAAAAACAGGTTACAAAGTTCTGTCCCTCAATATAAACTCAACCCCGTCACGCCAGAAATTCTCCGCCTATAGCAATTTAGACTCTACTCTTATTTGACATCACAGACAGAAAGTGACATCATTCAGCTCTCTTCACCAGCATGGTGCAAAAGAAGGCAAGATATATTTTCAATTATTTACATTTTTTATGTTTATTATAGTTATGAAGGGAACGGTCAAGCTTAACAATTCAACCCCGTAACGTAAAACTAAGATGGAATATGGTTGTTTTTTATTTTTAAACAATATGACATATTCTTGTTTAATTGCTGCCATGTGGGCCTTCTCTTTGTAACCACACGAGTAGCAGAGGTCATTTTGTTTTAAAAATTCAACCCCATCACACTCAACCCCGTTACACATGTCATTGTTTTGGGGTTGTAAACTTGTAACAGGATTGAGATATTCACCTAATTTATCAAGAATTTTAATTAAAAAAAAAACATTTCAGTAAATATATTCTTATTATAACTTTTTTTGTCACTGGTAAAATATTTGAAGCAGTGTTTTCACTTAAACTTTGACGCAATTTTATGTCAGACATGGCACCCTTATCAGCTGCAGATTTTATTTTGAATGTGTCACGAGTTTCATCATCAGTTAATGAAAAGCTAAAAAATCAGAACATGTAAAGTTAAGAAATTTTTTTTTAATTATGTGATTAGTTTGTTTATCTCTATGTCCTGTGAAAATTACCCAGCTTTAGAGAGGGGGTCATTAAGGGCATAATTCATATTAATATTATAGAGGGTTAAGCTATCAAAAGGTTTAGGAATCCCTGGTTGAATCCCCTGGTGGTCTTCTGCTGCTGTAGTCCATCTGCCTCAAGGTTGGACGTGTTGTGCGTTCAGAGATACTTTTCTGCAGACCTCGGTTGTAACGAGTGGTTATTTGAGTTACTGTTGCCTTTCTATCAGCTGCAACCAGTCTGGCTATTCTCCTCTGATATCAACTAGACATTTGTGCCCTCAGAACTGCCGCTCACTATATAATTTTTTCCCCTAGAGATTGTTGTGCATGAAAATCCCAGTAGATCAGCAGTTTCTGAAATACTTAGACCAGCCCATCTGGCTATATAATTTTATTTTATTATTATTATTATTATTATTATTAAGAATTTTCATTAACAATTTCATTAAGAAGAACTTTTTTGCTGCAGTTTTTATTTATGTTCCAGGTAATAATGTTTTAGACATGGCTACCTGTTGCTACTGTTTACTGTAGGTTCTGTTAAGCAATATATTTGGTAACATAAGCCTTTATCAGCATTTTTAAAGGTTACTAAGGGTCCAGTTTCCTGCAACAGTTTATTTTTTTTTTATTTTGACTGTAGTTTGGTTTAATGAAGTTTAATTTCATCCCAGTGTGATTAATGCCTTTGCTAAATGTTTTACTAAAGTAAATAAGTGTTTTTGTTAAGTCTTAGATGTAATTTCAAATTAGTTATTAAATTTTTTTTTAATTAAACTGTCCCCTCAAACCTGTTACAATCTTCAACCTCGTCACTGTATTCTCAACCCTGTGAAATTAATATTATTTTTTGGAAAATAAAATAAGGAAAACAATTAAATATAGAAAAAAATTCTTGCTGAGTACCAACCACCATGATAGGGCCTAACATTATGTGGTTTTGTGTAAGACATTCATTCATTCATTTTCTTTTCAGCTTAGTCACTTTATTATCTGGGGTTGGCACAGCGGAATGAACTGCCAACTTATCCAGCACACTTTTACGCAGCGGATGCCCTTCCAGCTGCAATCCATCTCTGGGAAACATCCACACACACACTCATTCACACACTCTCAAACACGATGGAAAATTTAGCCTACCCAATTCACCTGTACCACATTTCTTTGGACTGTGGGGAAACCAGAGCGCCCGGAGGAAACCCACGTGAAAATGCAAACTCCACACAGAAACGCCAACTAACCCCTTCTTGCTGTGAGGTGACAGTTGGGTAAGACATCTAAATTTAAAACTTTTTTAAAAAAATTAAGGGACCAAAGAATGCATAAATTGTATAATTGTAACTTAAATCAAATTTAAATCTAAAACTTAAAAATGGTATATTTTAGCCATTACATTTATTTGACATATGAGCAATAGGTAAATGTGGGTTTTTATAGCAAAAGCTTTGTAAAATACTATTATTAACAATTCAGTTTTGTCCGTTACGAGGTTGAGAATAAAGGGTGTCCAAATAAGAATAAAACAGAAAATAAAGGCTTTAATGCCTGAGCTGGGAAAACATGATTTTTAAAAAAATTTATTTAAATTGTGCCTAATTATGTAGGTTATTTATTAAAATATAATCAATACACTTTTAAAAATTAAGTTTGCTCAAGCTGAAATATTATCGAATGGCAGGAATGACCCACAAATCATTAATCATCGGATCAATGTACCAACAATAAACGCGTGTCGCTCACAAAATAATATAACGTTAGTTTTGTTGTCAAGTTAACGCTGTGTTAACTGTATCAGTTACATATTTGAAGTAATGACGGCCTCTGGCGGTGAGTTGTGAAAGTTGCAAGAGTACTTTTTCAATCTTTTCCTTTTCCAGCTTTCACTGTTGTTTGCAGCTCAGAAGAGAGTTACTTCCGCCTTCATCGAGAGGAATCTTGTTGCTCTGATTGTCCCCAGCCCATCCTTTCTGCTCCACACCTGAAAAAAAACAAACAAGCGAAAATAATGATAATGCACTTGCAGGAATTAGCTGCATATTTTTTGTGACAACATTGACAACAGTTCTCCAAATATTTGCTGGTCTGGCCTGTTGAAAAGTATTATGGCTACGTTAAAAAAGCAACTAAACTAACTACGCCAGACTTGTTGATTTGCAGCTTAAATATCTTTAACTCGTAGTAAAAGACAGCAAAAACTGGGCGATAATCTAACTTAAATACAACAACCCTGCTTAGGCTAATACTGTAAGTTTTGCAGTGATAGTTACCTGGAGGAGCAGGAAAGACTGAAAACGACGTCGAGGTGTTTTTGCCCCCACACACGTGAGTAACACTGGCATGTTTAATATTTCAAGGTTTGATAACCGCGGTATGATACGCTCTTGTTATAGTATTTTGAATGTCAATATTTGTTTGTCACAACTTTTAGTTTAAAAAAACTCTCCAAAATAAAGTCTAAACAACTAGTCTAATTTCATTAAGCTGATTGTTCTGAGCTAAAGTTTCTTAAATTAACTTTAGTCCCAGGCTTAAACTGCTGTTTAGGTGGTGAAGGGGTAAAAAGCTTTTGAAATGAACTGAAAAATTAGCCAAACTCTAAAACCATGACAGGTGAAAGTTTAACGTTAATATCATTAAGCCAGTCAGACCTGCTGGTTTAGTTTTTTTTTTTTAAATTATTATTATTTTCTCCACAGGGTGGTTGAAAATTCTGTCATGACATTTAAGAAAAACAATGTTTTGTGTTTTTGTTTTTTGACTGTAAAAGTTTAGTAAAAAATGTATTAACGTGTGTACCTATATTTTTAACTTGAACATCATGTTTGGCCTATAGATAGTATAGCAACATACTTAAAAAAATAAAAATAAAACCATGATACATTTTGGGAAAGTTAATTGACTTTTTTTCACATTTTATTTCAAAATTAGCAAGAATGTCAATTTTTTCTGACCCATAAAGACATATATTATCTTACCATCCAGTGTCTGTTGTTCCATTCTCCTCCTTGACCTTCTTAACTCCTTTGCCTTCAGTGCTTCTCGTACTTTCTGTAGGTTCTCTTCCTTCAACTTTCGCTCTTCCTCCAGTTTTCTCTCCTCTTCTTTCTCCATTTCTTTAACCTTTTCCAACACATTTTTACTTGAGATCATTGTCTCTCCATTGGTCTCCATCATTTTCGTGATCTTAGCCAGAAGATCAGCCACCTGGTCCTCACCCGCTTTGGGATTGCTGTACAAAGCATGGAAACGGCCTCCACATTTCTCAACCAGCTTATACAGCTCCACATTCAACTCTACTTCTTGCTTTAGGCTGGAACCACGCAATTGCTTTCTGTCTAAGATGGTGAAGAGCACCAAGCTGTGTCTCCAAGCTTCTTGACCAAACAGCTCTATGTGTTCTTCCACGGCATGCCGCTCACGCTGGGAGAAGGAGAATGACAGTGGCACCACCAGCAGCAGAGCATGGGCACCAGGCTGGCACAGACTCATACTCATCATCATCTCTTTCTTTACGAACCATAGTGATGTAGAGGAGCCATTGACTTTGAACCATTCCCAACCTGGAGTGTCCACCACTTGCACCTGGCGTCCTCTCACCAGACCCTGACGTGCAAAACACACTCGTGTCTTCACCCCGACCTCATCAAAGGCTTTCTTGCCCAGAATGGCATTGCCAACAGCACTTTTTCCAGATTCTGTCACTCCGATCAGGACAAGTCTCAGTTTAGGAAGCTCAGAAAGGTTAATGCCTTGTTCTGCATACAGAAAAGCAGTATAGAGATGATGATTTTTATTTACTTTTTTACTGAGGTGAAATGAAACAGGCTGATCAAATTTATTACAATTTTAATCTTAGCCAAAAGAGGAAGATACTGTATTTACATTTTTAATAATTGAATTGAATTATTATTATAATATTTATAATAAAATACTCTATTTATAAGATGCATTTATTCAAATTATTTAGAATCTACATGGACATGTTCAATGTGAAAATGCTACTAATAATAACTATAACAGTAAAAATAATAATAATAGTAAAAATTCTTACTGATTTCATTCATATATGATTATCAAATCACATTAAGTTTATGCATGTTTTAAGCTAATCATAATAATTTATTCGAATTTTGAATTTGTAAGCATTTCCAACATAAAAACTAAATTATGTTTTGGTTTAATGTTAAATGTTTTATGAGTAAAAAATTACTTTGCAGCACTCAATGGTCATTTCTGGATCTAACAATAATTCAGGTTTTTGAAATTTCAGATGAGTTCTTTTTTGCCACAATTTTTAAAATTTAGTTATCAGTTTTTATATACATTAAATTTGAGCCTTTAAAAAAAAAAAATTCAAAGTTCTATACAACCATAAGATTGTTACATTTACTAAAGAACACATTCAAATTATATAATAATAATAATAATACTAATAATAATAATAATAATAATGAAAAAACAACTAAAAACACAAAATTTGTATAAAAAAATGGTCTTATATTCATAATGAATTAAAAGTGCAGCACATATGTATTAAAGAGTTAATCAGTATTGAACTGCATTGCCCACAAACAAACATTTTTCAAATGTAATTAATGAAAGGACTCCATATGATTTCAAATGCATGCTGTGCAGCCTTTTAATCTGTAAGTTATATTTCTAATTTTTTTGTTAAATTTATTTGTTTACATGGTCAACGCACATTCATAAACATTACTGTAAAATGTGCCACAATTAGCCAGAAAAGGCTATTTTTGATCTGTAGACCCTTTACAGAATGTTAAAGTCACACTTAAGGGTTGAAAGGCTCGTAAGGCTTGAAATCCACCTGATCCATTTAATGGAATTTAGTCTTCTTTGCATCTTCGTCTATACCAATAGACCATTTTTATTTTGGATCAGAAAATGTCAATTTCTTTCTATTTATTACAAAAACATATTTAAAAAATATATTAAAACGAAAAAGAATAATCAGCTGAATACAAATAAATTGTAAAATGTTCAGTAATGTGAAAAATTTACAGTAGTTTTAGTTACTACTACAGTAAAAATTCAGTTATTGCGACTGTTGCTGATAACGCTAAATGTATAAATCTAACATTCTAATTTGTACAACCCATATTTATTTTTAGTCTCATTTTTAATAAATGATTTAGTTATTCACTTATAAAATGTCTTGTTTCATTGCTAGATGTATAGTTTTTGAATAATTATTCATTGGCATATTTTTGATTATTGGTTGTTGCTACCTTTTGGTTAAATAACGTAATTGCTGCCTACAACGTCAAGCGTCACGTTAATGCGTTAGTTGCACAAGATGGCACTGGTGGAGCTTTTGAGACACAAGTTTGTGCGTGTTCACTTCGGGTGGAATGAAACTATGGTGAAGGTGGTGAAGATTTAGTGTTTTGTTACCAAAACTGAAAATGTTTAAAAAAAAAAAAAAAAAATGGAAGTATCAGCGACAGGAGAGAACATCTTGCATTAATTTACTTTCATTCTTTTCCTGATGATGCTAAAGTTCATGGTTGGTAGTTACTTTAATTCCATTGGGATTTTGTCTTTTTTTGTAACGTTTCTCTTCGTTGTGTTATAAACATTATTTCCTTATTAATAAAAGAAGCTCGACACAAAAATGTGAACCTGCACACACTTGCATCTCGGAAGCACACCAACGCCATCTTGTGCAACTAGCCTATTGTAAATGATGGTGATTTTAATCTTTACCATAAACATCAGTGGTTATATCCAAACTATAAACTGTTACAGTACTTCTGTGTTATTATATTTTATATTAATACTGTTTCATAACTAACTCAGACTAAGGACTAAATCGCTTCCTTGATTTTTGCATTTTTTAAAAGACAGATTTAAATGCAGCGTTTTGAAGGATTAATAAACATATGCATATCACTAACATTTATAATTTGTTGTGCGGGTGTTGAGATCCTGATCTTTTCATTAATCGTGCAGCTTACAGTGAGTGCATTAATGCAGGCTAAACTAGTAGTGACACCTTTAATAACCCACCCATATTATTTAATAACAAACACCTTCTAGGAAACCCACCACATCCAAATTAACTTACCATTTTTTCAACTTTTTTCGTCATCATTATATTTTTCAGGAAAGCCTAAATGAGTTCATACATGTGATTTGAATGACACAAGAGGCTATCTCTTTGCAATTGTTACAAATTTAGAAATGATCCACAAGTAAAAAAAAAAATTTATTGATCCACAGGTGTTCCAAACTGTGGATTGTGATTGTTACGAATCATGGATCAACCATGATCTGTTACACCCCTAATTTATGCTGTATAATGGTGTGAATTTATAGACATAGTGTGAGCCTTATAGCATATGCCATGTTCCAGTCTCCATCCAAAACTGCAAATATTACTTCCATGCATCCCCCCTACAATATGTAATTCATTAATTAATTTTTGAATGAGAAACTTGTTAATTGTATTTAAATTGTATTCAAATGCAACTCGTACCATCCTGCATCTCTCCTATCAACTGTAATAAATAAAAAAAACATATTAGCATTAGTATTGCTTGCTACAATGTTTCTCTTATTACAAAACCATTATAATAAACGCCTCAAAATTAGTGTTTTTTTAAAGGTATTTTTTATGGTAAAATAAAGTGTTACTGTATTTTACACGATTAGATAGCTCACTATATTGAACCCCATTTCTTACAAGATAATACAGATGAAGAAAAAAAAACAGACAAAATAAATGTAACACTAAAGCTACTGTAGCCATTTTAATCAACAGTGTGCGTAAAGTTATCTTCTACCACCGCCTATATTAGCTCTTTCATTTAACACACTCTGTATAAATCACATTACTTTTTGTGTTGCTTGGTTAGAATTGGAAGCAATAAAGACAGTAATAAAAAGGCTGTATGATTATCAGCTGCGCTATTGAAATGATTGCTCCCTCGGTAATAATCTTGTATAATGAGCACACACTAGATTGGTCTGTAGACACTAATTGCTTCATTAAATTTTTATTTGGTGAATGCCTTATTGATTTGGAGGTTTAGTGGAGGTCTTTTTTCATTAAATGTCACAAATATCACATGCTGAAGGTCTATCTCTATTGACATTATCGTATCATATTTATCTGATGGATGTAACTTTGGCCTTATTTCATCGCCATGACTACCTAATTACATCACCGCTGTTAGGTATGATTTAACAGCAGTAAACAAGGAAAGGTGTTCCTGTAAAATCAATATGACAGAAACTGCTCTTACTACTGAAACGCTGCAGTTTAAGTAATTCATATTCTGGGTTGTGATGGCCCCATCTAACATAGAAGGATCTCACAATTAGTCCATGAAGAAATCAAATATTCCTGACTTGCAAATGGATTTAATGTATGTATATTACTAGTAACTAAATAGCTTAAGAACTTTCCCAATGATTATTTGATGTATTTGTTGTGGAGTTGCAGCAATGAGTCACACACAATGTCGTTACAAAGTTTACGCACACAGACCAGGCACACGTGTTTAACTTTGCACTGTTTTTGCACAGAAAATGTGACAGGATACACGTTAATATCCATATCCGTTATGTTAATTTACAAAATAAACCTGATTTAACCGGGATTGGAGCGTCTTCTTTTATAATTGTGCTGACATGCAGCTGTGGTGATAAAGCAAAGACGGTAAAATCGCAGTAATTCATTACACACATGCACTGTTTTAAAAACGTTTTAAACTTGTAAAACTCATTCTAGATCACATTTGGTGATGATTGATGATCACAGTGAACTGAACAGATCTTTTAATCCCAGTTGCTTTCTGCACGTCCTGTCTTGTTGATATGATTATACGCATTACTACAGACAGAGACATGTTAATACGTGGCTGTCAATCAAATCGGTGGGTGGGGAAACCGCAATCCTACCTCATGTTGCGGTGGGCCTCAAAACGGGAGGGATTTAGATCCTATTTGTAATGTCAGAAAATTAATAAAATGACTCTAATATGACTGTGGACAAACTATGCCTACCCACAGTTCTGTCCAAACAGCTTCTAGAACATGATTTTCATCAAATGTACCCTTTAATTATTAAAGATAAATTAACATTTAGGCATATTTGAAGTATTGTATTGAATTGATTAACTAAAACAAAGGCAGTATATATACAGTCAAACTAGAAATTATTTATACCCCTGGCAAATTTTGACTTCAAGTTTAAAGACTTTAAAGACTTTTTAGAGAAACGTGCCATTTCTGCTCAGAAATAATTTTAGTTGAATGAAAGTAGCTTGCCAGTACTAGTTAAAATGTTCTTATTAAAAAAGCCACAGTTTAGTGTAAGATTAATAAAGGATAGTCAGTCCAGTAGAATTTACTGACCGTGCTCATCTGTTATTCCATCCATTCTCTTCCAGTCAGATTTTCAGCTGCTTTCTTTCTAAATGTTCATTATGTCCTGCTTTCTTGATGGTCTGTTTCATAGAAATGACTGGACTAATACATATTTCCTCTATCCTCTTATCTAAATATTGTTTCCCTGTATATTGTGAGTGCAATCTTGTGTTTACAACCTCACACATATCCAAAGTACAAACTATGAAGACCAAGCCTATATTGCTTCCTGAACTTTTATGGTGTTTAAGAAATGTATATGTTAATTTCTAATCCTCATTTAATTATATCAAAGCCTTTATGATAACACGTTTAATTATTGGTCAGTTATAGTTAATGCTAGTTAATGAATTTACCAACAAGAACAAGTAAAGAACAATACATTTATGTTTATTAATCTTTGTTGACATTAATTAATGAAAATGAAGTCGTTTATTGTTAATTCTTGTTAACTGAGTGCATTAATGTTAATACAAGTACAACTTTGTATTTAATCATGCAGTAAAGGTTGTATGATTAAAGAATTCTGTACAAGATTGTTCATAGATCATGTTAGTGCGTTTTAATACATTAACAGTAACTAATGCACCCTAAAATGTTGTCATTTTATTATTTCAAAAATATCATATCACTGTGAATGAAAAATCTAATGTTATTCTGTGTGATTTGCATTAATTATTAACATCTGAACTCATAAGACCAGAGCAGCAAGTCTCACTTTCTTTGAACATTGATTCCAAAGGTCATTTAATTTCCCCTAGTTTCTCTTCATTGCAGGTGGATAGACGTGCAGCACAATGGAACGTGTTAACAATTATTTGTCTAAATATAAGGGATATATTTTTGCAAAAGGTGAAGCCACTGCGGAGTACATTGACTCTCTGCAACATTTTGAGATTCGTGACAGTGATGTCTTTTTGGTGACGTACCCCAAGTCAGGTGAGAACAACTAATGTTACATTTTAAACACTGATGTATAAGTTTCTTATAAACATAGTTCAGTAATCCAGTCATTTTAAGGGTTTTTGTTTGTATAAGGATTAAATTAAATGAAAAAAAATTTTTTTATATTATATGCATAGCATAATAAATTCAAGTGTCTTTGTTTCAATTAAAATGTTAAAATAAGGGTAGAATGTATTACACAAATAAATAAAATAATAACATTTCAGTGGTGTTTTCTGTAAATCATGATATGATATTTAAAAAAAAAAAAAGATCACAAGAAGAGGTTCAAAACACCTTCTAATGTATGTGGATTTAATTAATAAATTATTTAAGATACTGTAAAAAAATGATGAGGATGAAGAAGATCTCAGTGAAGAGGTTTATTCTGCATAGCAGTCTCAAAGTACACGGCAGTACCCTGGTATCTGAACATTCTTAAACTCAAACCTTTTATATTTTAGATGTTGCCTTTAGACTTTAGATGTTAACAAAGTTGTTTCTTGACTGTTGACGCAGCTGTTTATTCTATGTAATGCAGTTTTCACACCATTGATGAGATGGTTTTCTGTGCCAAATACCCATCCCCATTCTGCAATTGTTACCATTTGCCCAAGATGTAGTCACCTCAAACAATGCTAAGACAACATACTGTTGACTTGTCTTTTCTCTCATAAATTAGCCCTTTTGGGAAATGAGCATCAACAGACCATTTAGAGTGGAAGTTAGGTCAAAGCAGACTTCATTTCTCACAATACTAAAAAAGATTTACGTGCAATGTTTAATTCAGCGTGTTCTTTGCTTTATTTTTTGCAATTATGATTTTTACTTGAAAATTCAGTTTAAAAATTGTTATATTTTAAGAGTTCTATCACAAAGTCTATTTTTTAAAATGTATATAATTAATACATTTCTTTTTGCCAATCCCACTCAAACCATAAAGATTTTTTTTACGTAAACATAGATTTTTTTTTTGTTTGTTTGTTTGCAGGTACAATATGGGTGCAGAACATCATAAATTTAGTTTGTGAGGACTCGCTTACAGAAAAAACTAAATATCCCAACAATCTTGAGCAGATGCCATGGTTAGAGTACCGTGAAGGCCGTGCTGACTATTCTCTGCGTCCATCTCCAAGACTATTTGCCACTCATCTCATACCTAGACTGATGCCACAAGGCTTAAAAAACAAGAAGGGAAAGGTAAATATCTAAACATTCCCACCGTGCTAATTGTAAAACACTTTCTTTAATTTGATTTTTAAGAGTTCACACTTAGATATTGCTTGATAATAATAGCAGGTTTGGAATGCTGTCCTCGGAGAGAACCCTGAGCTCAGAGATAACTAAGCCCAGGGTTCCCACTTGGTCAGTGAGCATGTAAGAGATCAGGTAGGCATTAAGAGTAAAGGAGGAAAGAGGGAAATGGGGTGGATGGTGGGATTTTTCAAAAAACTAACATAACAGAGTAAAACTGGTCGGGCTATTTATAGTGAGTTTGGAATGATCCGATTGGCTCCTTAATGATTACAAATGAGAGACCAGCCGTGATCAATCATCACGTGCTCCTCTCGAAATTAGTTTGTTAATAATACTTCACGTATTATTTATTTGTGAAACTGAACCATAAAACTTGTTGTACTGTAGTGTCATTTTTTTAAATTGAGATTTCACATTGGCGTCTTAAATGGATAGTTCGGCAAAAACAAAAATTAACTCGTGCTCAAGTATTTTCAAACATTCATGAGTTTTGTGCTTCGTTTAAAAGCACACAATTAAGTTATTTTGAATAAAGCTGAAAACCTGAAAAGTTGACCTACATAGTAAAGCTTTTCTATACAAGTGAAGAGTGAGTAAATAATGACAGCATTTTCAGTTTTTGGTGAACTATCCCTTTAAAGCTGCATAAATACAGTTTACATTGTCGTATAGTTTTTTAGGACAGGATAATAGTTGGTCGAGATAAAACCACTCGAAAATTTAGTGAAGTTGAAAGACGAGCAATTGAACCCTTGTGTACAAATATGTACTACCCCTTCATTATATTCATGGCTGTTTTTTGTTGACTTCCATTATAATCCTAGAGAACAAGTAATCGTGCATTCTTGATTGTTGTTGATTTTCGATGTTGGGAAGAATTAAAATGTGTAATTCTTTATTTGGCACTATTAACCCTTTAGATAGACCTGTGCAAAAAAAGTTTTCTGGCTTTAATATGGAGTTCTATGGAGTAAAACAGCAGATTATAATGTGTGTTTGTGCATAAATACACTTAATATGTTTAATATGTTCTGAGAGCTGAGCTGCATATTTAGATTTTCTCAGACATATCAAGGTAAGTAGAGATGTATCTCACTCTCACATACTATACTCAATATAGGCAGAAGCTTCTTTTTTTTGCACTGCATATGACGATCAATTGTAAAAATTAAAAACTGGCCACTTTTCAACAGCGGAAACCAGCAACAATCAAGAATGATTGAATTTTCGATGGCATGGCTATGCAATCAAAACATGTCATAATAATGGAAACAATGGGAATGAACATAATAAAAGGGTAGTACATTTGCTTAGAGTGTATCTAGATTTTTAAAAAATAATTTCAAAGCATTTTTCCAAAATGTGTGTCCAAATAAGATTTGCACCAAAAATCATTTCATTTTCTGACCAAAATCACTCCAGAGTGGATGAAAACACCCCCAACAGCACACAAAGGCTAAAGTTGTGCTAATGAAGTTGTAGCAATGCACATAACTAATCAAAAATTGAGATGTAAAATATTTACTTCATAGAAACATGAATTTTGCTTAATATCTTAATGACTTTTGGCATAGACGAAATATCAAAGCATTTTGACTCATACAATGTATTTTTGTCATTGAACAGCAAACACAGCAAACATACTTGTGCGAGAGTTTTGTGATCACATTTATTCAGAAATGTTCATTGCTCTACATGTTTTTTAAATCACAGATTATATATGTGAGAAGAAATCCAAAAGACAACGCAGTGTCATATTTCCACTTTTCCCACGTCTGGGCCAAAGTTGAGACCCCGAAGAGCTTTGAGGACTTTCTGCAGCAGTATCTAGCAGGAAATGGTAAGACTAAAAGCACAATGTAAAACTTTTCCCCAGCACTGGCAAGGATTGTAGGTTGATGGGAGTGAATAACCAGCACTCTCACCATCCTCAATACCAAGGCTGAGGTGAGTCCCTTAAGGAAGGCACAGATCTCCCAACTGCTCCCCGAGTGTATGTGTGACACAAATATGTAAAATGACATGGGTATGACACAGGTATTACAAAAAGGAAGTGAAATATGAGGACATAGATGACGTCCTCATTTCTCAAAAAGCTTATAAATTCCACAGGATGAGTTTAATCAGAGAGTAAAGCTGTACACACTCCTTTGATGGTTGAGTTTAGGGGTAGGGTAGGGTGAGAGCAATACAATATACGGTTTGAACAATATAAAATGAATGGAAACCTATGTAATGTACCCACTTTTCACAAAAACAAACATGTGTGCGTGTGTGCGCATACTTGGATGGATTAAATGCAGAGCACAAATTCAGAGTATGGGTCACCATACATGGAAACATGTCATGACTTTACATTTTTATAAAAAAAATGCATTGCTATTTTATATATTGCAGCACAAAATTTTAAATTTTATTATTAACAGAGTAAGTTGGTCCCCTTTGGCCCAACACATTATTTATAGATTTTAATTTACTTTTGCTATTATTGTTAAACAATTCATGTGGGAAAATAGATTTGTCCCATAGGTAATATCTACAGTTGAAGTCAGAATTATTAGCCCCCCCGTTTATTTTTCCCCCAATTTTTTCAACACTTTTCTAAACATAATTGTTTTTCTAACAACTAATTTATTTTATCCTTGCTATGACGACAGTAAATAAAATTTGACTAGATATTTTTCAAGACACTTCTATACAGCTTAAAGTGACATTTTTAAAGCTTAATTAGGTTAACTAGGCAGGTTAGGGTAATTAGGCAAATTATCGTATAATGATGGTTTGTTCTGTAGACTAACAAAAATATATAGCTTAAAGGGGCTAATAATTTTGACTTTAAAATGTTTTTTAAAAAATTAAAAAAGAAAAAAATTCCCTTTCTCTGTTAAACATCATTTGGGAAATATAATTTTTTTTAATAAAAATCAACCGTGCATATATCATTTTCTATATTTAAAATGAAGTCAATATTAGCAGCTGTATGATTGCAGATTGACTTAATTTGTACTAATTTTTACTGAAAAGAATAGATTTCAGAAATAGACATGTAATTAATGAAAATATTGGACAGTAATCATATTAAATACAAGTAGTATTAAAATAAAAAGCATTAGTGTTTTTTCCTTATTGTTCAGTCTTCAAATCCCTCGAAAAATGTAGATGGTGGATCACCTTGCCTCGACTTACCTTTAAAAAGAATACAGAATTTTGGGATTTATACAGTAGGTGTGATTTTTAAATGATTAAATTATCTTTTAGTTGGCGGTTCGTCTTGGTTTGATCACGTCAAAGAATGGTACAAAGAAAAGGAGAACTACGACATACTTTTCCTGTCATACGAGGACATGATCATTGTGAGTAACCACAGCTTTATATTAAGTCAATAATAGGGCTGCACAGTAAATCGATTCAGCATCGATATCGCAATGTGATCATTTGCTATAGTCACATCGCAGGATATATGCAATGCTGAGTTTGTATTATAATTGATCATTTGCATGTGTTTTTAATGGCTGTGATTGTATGATGATTTTAAAAGCATTCAGATGTATGACATTGTATTATTTTTTACCTTAACTATGATTCATTTTATAGAATTTTTTTATCATTCAGTTACTGTACTTGAATAGACTCAGGAAACGATAAAACACTTCATATTAATTGTATATTTTTCTTGACTGTATTTATAGATTGTTATGCATCAAAATACTCACAACACATGCAAATACAAAAATGAATTGCAAATAGCACAGGCCACAAGGAAAATATGTCATGGGAACCCAAAAATTGTATAAATCGTTTTGTAGATTTTATGGAGATGCACTCCCACTGCAGAAACATCTCAATCAATCCCACATTATACATTCTTTCCAAATTGAGATATTAAGAAATTGTATTCATATTGCAAAAAAAAAAAAAAAAAAAAATATATATATATATATATATATATATATCGTAATGTCACGTTTTTACAATATCGTGCAGCCCTAGCATATGAGTTAAAAAAACTAAAAGAAAAGTGTTTACTTTTTGAGCGGACAACAATGACTTGCATTTTTTTAAATATTTATTTAGACTCAAGACAACAAGTAATTTGTTAGTATAATGCGTTTGTATTAAAAAAAATTAATTTGTCCACCATTTTGAGAACAAGAATTGTTTTATTACACATTAAAAGACTCTATTTAAGGATCACAGTGAAGCTCCAAAATATTATTTGGTGTTGAAATGTTTTACTTTGCCACTGTACTTAAAAGATATATATCCTTAAAAGATATATAACATATAACCTTAAAATGTATGGTCCCACTTTATATTAAGTGTCCTTAACTACTATGTACTTACATCAAAAAAATAAATACAATGTAATTACTGTGTTTATAATGTATTTGAGAACACTTGTGGTGCTTTTGAGTTGGGATAGAGGTTGGGTTTTGGACAGGTTTGGTGGCATGGGTAGGTTTAAGGGTGGGTGAAGGTGTAAGGGATGGTCAACAGTGTATTTACAAATGTAATTACAAAAGTTAACTACAGATGTAATTACATGTATTTAATCAAGCATTAGTACACAGTAAATACATGTATTTACACAATAAGTACATTGTAGCAAACTATTAATTCCTGTGTAAGTACATATTAGTTAAGGATACTTATAAAGTGGGAACAAATTTATATATACACTAGATCATGTCATTCGCCATTTAGAACACTTTATAGTACTTTAGCACGTTTTCAGTTATGTAGAAAGCAAGCAAACTTGTCATATTGTGACAATGTGACTTACACACTCTTTGTCCTAAAGTGACTACTGTGTGCAGGAATTACACTTATAACTAAGCCATACTTGCATGCTATTTTGGACTAAATATAGAGTAGCATGGTAAACAATATAGGGAGCACATTACAGGTTGTCATTGTTCAAAAATGAACCAATGTGAATAGAAAACCAACTTCACCTCGGTAAAGCAGGCTTAGCGGAAAAGCGCTGTTTACTTATGTTCTGTTGTTAAATTAAATAAACATCTATATTATCGATGCTGTAAAAGGCTCTTATGAAACTTAAAATAGTCACATCAATCGTTTGCTGGATGATTTTAGTGGCTGAGCAACACTTCTGTGCATATAACCCATTCATAATACAACACAATCTACATCAGCTTTGCGTGACTAAAATAGTGTTAAACAGAACATTACCTGTCTATAAGAAATACTTCAGCTATGATGTTGCTCTTCCTCCAGAGTACAAAAGTAATTCCAATATCGATTCAGCATTTGGTTTTACCGCTGTCACTCGTGCGAACAGCTGATCAGTCTATATGAAGAGCTGCATAGATGTACAAATCTACATTTTTTTGACAGTCTGTTGAGCTACGTATCAAGCAAAGGTGCAGACAATCACCTACTGCACCTTTAAGCTTGATTTTGTTTACAATGATGATCTGACATTATTATTTAATTAGCTCTTTCTTGCATTTAATGTTTTATGCATATAATGCTTTTATGCATTTTATTTGATGAGAACTCCAAAAAGAAATCTTTCGTCATTGACCAATGTGCAGAATAAGACATTTGTGTGCATGTCTTCCTGATATTTGCCATTGCTTTCAGGATCTCAGGACGGCAGTTGAGAAAGTCAGCAGATTCTTGGGGAAAAATCTTGATGCTGCTGCTGTCGCACGTATTGTGGAAAAAGCCACGTTTAAAAACATGAAGCAGGACCCCAAGGCCAACTATGAATTTCTCCCCAACACTGTGCTGCTCAAGCCTCAATTCTTGCGCAAAGGTTGGTGTTCAAAGATCACAATCCTGTAACATGTAGACACTCTGCTTTTGTGTGTGTGTTAATGGTTTTCTGTTGCAGGCACTGTAGGGGATTGGAAAAACACATTCACCGTGTCACAAAGCGAGATGTTTGACCAGATATTTGAAGAAAGGATGAAAAACGTACCATTGAACTTCATCTTTGATTTAGACACCAAAACAAACCAGAAGTAGTCACATAAATAACCAAAGCATTGTTTGTCTTGTGGGCATTAAGATGTTTTACTGGTTTATGTAAATGTCCAAAGAAAAATCTAATTTTGTGCTTCTTCTCAATTACAGCTAGTTTCTACATTGACTAATGCATCACTAAAATCCACATTTTTGACACTTGACCACACAGTTCTTATGCTGCACGTGTCGTCATCCTTCGTCTCAAAATAATACGTTTTTCTTTTATTCCAAAAATCTTTAGAATGTGTATATATATTAAATCTAAAAAAACTTTGGGTTAGAAATGTATAATTAAATATTTAATTTGTTCAAATTCAAAGGATTTTTTTAAACCCTCAGATCTATGCCAAATATTGTCAATTGACACTTATGACTGATTTTGTGGTCCAGTCACATTTGTATTTAGCAATAAGGATTCATGAAATCATCAATATATTGCTATTTTCCATCATATTTAGAAACTATAGAAGCCTGTTTCTGCGAGGTAAGAAAATAACTGATGCCTTAAAATTACAATTATTAGACAAAAAGTTAAATAAAAATTATGACTTAAGTTGAATTTATGACTTCGAGACCTGTGACTTATGACTAAAAATATGATAAAAAGTAGAAATTATGACTCCTTTCAAAATTACAAAAGTTGAAACTATGACTTTAGTCAAAGGTATGAGAAAATTATAAAACAAAATTATGACTTTAAAAAGTCAAAGTTATGACTTAGTAGGTCAAAATTATTAGATAAAAATGAAAATTGACTATAAAAAGTCATAGTTAAGGCTTAAGTCATGAGATTTAGAGAAAAGACTTTTTAAATATTATAGACAAAATTGTGATTTGATTAAAAATTTTAAATTATGAGAAAAAAAATTATGACTTAGTAAGTAAATTGTAAAGTCGTCATTTCTACTTTTAAGTGTCATACTAATTTAAAATCATGAGATACAAAGTACAAATTATAATTTAAAAAATTGAAAGTTATGACTTAAAAAAAATAAATAAATTATGAGATAAAAAGACAATTATTATTTTCAAGCTCTGACTCTACGGTATCTTCCAAGATATTTTGCCTCTTTTAGGGTTAACATGCACTGTGGATTAAAAAGCATTAAACTACTTATGCCCAACACAACTTTATGCAAATTTCAGACCATTATTTTAATTTGACATATTTAGGAGCTTCAAGAAATAGACTTCATCAGTTTGTCTGATCCATTTAAGTCCATGTTTTAACAAGCAAGTTTAAATTGCAATCATCATTAGTATGGAAAAGAAGGTTATTACCATCAAGCTCCAGAACTGAACTTGTGATGATTAAACTCCACAACTAAGCTGTGTGTGTTCATTTTGAGAGAGACATCAACACAGTATATGAATAATACTCAAATCTTTATTCAGCTCTGACAGCTTTGAAACACAGAATGCAGACAGCTGTGGTAGATAATGACAGCTTAATTGTCTTCGTCTGTTGAGGGAAATCAGAAAAATGTATAAGAAACAGAGAAAACCAGAGACAATATTTACAAAGACATGATTTGTTATCCTTACCCTCTTCTTCATCCTCCTCGTCCTCATCATCTTCCTCCTCGTCTTCATCTGAGCTGAAGGTTCCATCAGGCAGGCTGTACACCCTGATGACTTGCTGTAAAACAACACGAAACAGGAGTTACGCTTTCATAACTAAGCAGATTACGGCAGAGAAGTACATTGAAGTTGCCAAGGTAATTCCTACTGGCTTGCTATTGCAGCTAAAATGAACACAGAGAAGCTGTGCAAGTGTTTTAAACAATGCTTGTCATATTTACTCAATGCATGGTTTATTTTATATACACATATATACAAGAGAAAAGACTTTTTCATTTTGCCAAATATCTTGATACTGCAATAACACTACAGCTGAGTAATAATCATAAGAAATGTCAAATCTATAATTATACTCTGCAAACTAGAAGCATTTAATAGACAAATAAAAACGTTTGTTTGTTTTGAGAGGTCAAATTGAAGTTTTTTTCTTTAAAACAAGCTATTATTATATATACATACAGCTAATAATAATAATTGTCCATTGAGAAAGTAAAATAAACCTATTTTTGGATTAGTTTACTCTCCTCATGGGCTTTTTAAGGAGAAACTTGGTTTATTCTGAAAACAAGATCTGTATTTTAACTAGTCAAAAAAATTCTTCTTTGACTAGAAACAAGGAAAAAAAAAAAACTATAAATTTTTTTTATTTTGCAATGACAAACGTGAACCCACAAGCGGTATGTTTGAATAAATCTATGACAAAGACCAGTGTTGAGCACGTTCCTTAAAGAGTAATTAGTTATTCACTCAGTTACTATTTGTGAGAAGTAACTATAACAGAGTTACATAATTATAAATGTAAATATTTACATAGAAAAGTAACAAAAAAATGCAAATAAATGTAAAACATTGTACACTAATCTACACTAGTTTAATGTTTTTGTGGGACAATGTGAGAGACTGCGGCAGCATGTCCTCAACTATATATCTATTTTGTTTAATTCTGTCTGAGTAATAAGGGTTTGCAGTGAAGGAAACATTTTTTTATTTGCTTTGACGATGGGCTTCGTCTCCTTTAGTAGCAGAGCTCACGTTATTACCCGAGTAGCCAGTAATTTTGTGGTTGGCATGTGATGACGTGAGGTGCTTCATTAGATTAGAATTACTTGACACTGACACAGAGAGACTTTTTTTCCCTGGACATAATTTGCACGATAAATAAACATTATTGCCTTTCACATAAATGAGGGAAAAGTAGTGCTTATATTTCCAGTTTGCAAATGCTTCATTTGAACTTGTTGGATTTGGCATCGTTCTGATTCCTGGTCATTGGTGTGTGCGTGTGAGAATGACTGTGTATGTGATTGTGTGTAATAAAAGTTTCTGAATTCAAAATGAATTCAGTCCAGTTTCTGAAATATGTATTAAATGTGCATTATTTGTCCTAATTCTTGCACATGATTTTAATTTGAGATTTTTAAATGAAGATTTTCTAGTTTGTTTTTATTCTGATTTTGACAGCGGGTGACAATTGTTGAAATTACACCAAAAAATATGTAAAATTTAATTCAAACACTTTCAAGGACCTTTTTTTGTTTGTTTTGTTTGTCAAGCACTTTCCAGGTCTTGTTTAAAATTCAAGAAGCATGGGAACCCTGTTATCTGGTATCATAATGTACCATTAAAAAAACACCAGTTTAACTTTTAATTAAAATGTGTAGCGTTATCAAACCAATTTCATAACTATTGTTTTACGAGCACCTCACCTTATTGGGGTCTTTAAGGATGAGGTATTTGCCCTCCTCCAGCTTGCGGCAGATGTCGATCACGCAGCGAAGGATCCCCCAGGCGTTCTCCATGCTCAGATTAATCTGGCTGGCAAACTCATTGGGCTTGAACTGCTGTGTGCCCAGAACCACATGCCTAGAGGAGTCCTTGACATGATAACGGGACACATACCTATAAAAAGACAGACATGTAGTGAGAAAACTACTAGAAAAAAAACAAAACACATTAACACAGTGTTATATGATATTCACCCTAATTTGAGGTACTCGGATCCTGCAAGAATGGCACAGCAGGTCCAGCGGGCCAATTTGTAGCTGTTGTTCTTGAGCTCGGTGGCCAGAACGGCTCCTCTCTGAGAGTCCAGTTTCTGTCTCCAGTCCACTCCATTGCAGTACTGCGGAGAGCACAGCGTTATACAAGCTGGATTTCTAAAATTGTAGACTACGTTTCTATATATGCGTGTTGGATCTTACTCTGGAGTCCCACTCGTTCAGGGTCTTGACATTGATGAAAGAGACTTCTCCATTTGCTCCAGTCATCACTCCATCATGTTCACAGCGCACAATGAGGTCAATGTCTTCACCCAGCTTCCACCTCCGGTACCTGAGAATCAAACGGGGAAAAATATGATTGATTTTTTTTTACATTTTACAAAGTGCATGACAATTATTTCATCATATCATGTGATGAAATCAACCTGATTCTCTATTATTTTTTAAAAGAAAAAGAGTGAAAAAAGGACATGAAATTTAATTTTGGCAAAAAACAACTTGTCAGTTTAAAAGTAGCATTAAAAAAAAATTAATTAATTTATTGAAGCTGCACTGCTACCCAGGACGACAGAGAACAGTGGAGAATAATAATTTTAGCTAATGAATAGAAAAAAACCTGACAAAATAACCAATTCATGGCAATAACAAGTGTGGTCCCTCGCTATAACACGGTTCACTTTCATGGTCTCGCAGTTTCGCAATCGTGCAATTTAACAAGCTTTTTTTCTACAGCGCATTGTGTTCTGTGTCCTGATTGGCTGTAGATCATTGTTGATCATCTTCTACGTGTCCTGTCTCCTGTACAGTAGGCTTGGGCGGTATTACGGTATTATGGTATACCGCGGGATCTAAAAATAGCAACGGTGTCAGTTTCAATACCGTTATACCGTCATAAAATATTAAATATCCTTTATTTAATGCCTACAAAAACGTATGTGTGGTTGTCATCACGGGACAGTGTGGAGGAGAGAGGGAAAGGAAGGGGGAGAGGGAGAGGGAGGGAGAGAAGGGGGAGAGGGAGGGGGAGAGGTGACGTGACGAGTCGCGCTTCAAAGTGTCCTGCAGTTTGGGAGTTTCAACTGAACAGAAGGGAGACGTGGTTAATATGAACGAGAGGTCTGCATTAGAGCTAAAGATCTTTGACCGAACCCGGTGAGACCCGAAAAAATCCAAATCCCTGCATTAAAATCCATCCCTGCAAAGGTAAAACAAATGATGACGAAGTAGTAAAAAAAGAGAATTTTGACGGCGGTCAAGTCAGTCACTAGCTCAGAAGGAGCGGTTATTCCAGCCGCAGGTATTTGGCGGTCGCTCATACACTGCGTATTACGGTAGAGCCCTAAACCGCAAGCTGACAGGTAAAAAGAAGAGGCCATTCGCTAAAGTGAAACTGCTGTCATGGAAAATTAAATGCATGTTCCTGACTGGTAGAAGATGAACAAACAATCCTACCAAAAACTTGCAAAATCAGCCGGATCAGAACTCTGCATCTCGACCTGTAGCAGCAGGAAAGGGTGTTCAGCTGCTGGACGCACCATGAGTGAGAGACTGCGCTAAAGGCAGTGGATTTAATAATGTTCCTCCACAAACACACGTAGCCTAATCTTGGTGCGTAAAGGGTTTTTAAATTATATATAAATATTAAATAAACCATATAATCATAATGTAGACAGAGTATACAGGCTAATGGTGGCATTATTCTTTTATTATTCAGCTTCACCGCCGCCCTAATGCCAGATTGTGAAGAGAAGTGGAGAAACAACTTGCACAGCCTTTATCTTAATTTCGTTATTGCCAAAATACCCGTCACCATTTACAGTTTATTTTAATTTGATTTGTTAAGCAAGATTACTTTCCATTGGTGTGTAGGCTAATTTAAAGGCTAAGTGCATGTACCTAGACCTATAGAGTGCTGAGATGTTACGATGTTACAGCTGTAGGACTTATTTTATTTCTTTGTTCCAACTTTCAAGTGGCCTATAGTCTACGCTTGTTACGAATAAATGATGTTAAAACATATAAATGACTCATTCTTGAAAAAAATGCATTAGAGCTGTGTGCATGAGCACATTTTAATGTAGGCTGTGAACGGGTTTGGGCTGTATAAAGCTGTCAATCAAAATGTACCTGTCGGACTTGGGACCTATCGGGTATAACTGCTGTTCCGCGGGAGCCGGCCAGATTTCTTACGGTGTGGGAGTAAATTTCTGAATAAATCGCGGGAGAGGTGTGTGTGTGTGTATGTGTAAAAGGGAGAGAGAGAGAGAGAGAGAGAGAGGTGCTGTGCGCCGCTTTGCGCTCTCTCTCTCTCTCTCTCTCACCGCGAGCCTAAGGCCAACAGTTTGGTGACGCTGTCTGAGCCTTACGTCATAATTTTTTTTTTATTACGCCGGTAATACCGGATACCGGGGTAAAATATGGAGGCGGTTTGACGGTATCAAAATTTGGATAACGCCCAAGCTTACTGTACAGTACAGAATGCGTTCAGCTTTACCAAATTTACATACATTTTCGATCGCTAGCTGTGTAACTAAAGTGCTGTAGAGTATTCTAGCAAGTTTTCTCCCAACAATTTCTGCACCGTCAAAGGCACCTTCAGTAGCACTCAAAAGAGGAAGATGCCAACAATCGCACAAAAAGTTGAACTTCTGGACATGCTAACGGAAGGCAGAAGTTACGCAGCTGTAGGGCGACATTATGAAATAAATAAATGAAAATCAAATGGTTTAGATCTTCGGTTTCTTTGT